GGAGCCGAGCCCTCCGCCAGGCTAAGAAAGGCCCGTGGAGAAGGGGATGGTGACGCCTCGGCCAGGTCACCGCCCGGACCACCACCACGTCCAATCTGAGGGGAACACTTAACCGGCCGTCATGTAACACGCAAAAGAAAAAGCCCCGCCGCTACCTGCTCCTCCCGAAAGATTTCAGCGCCCTAAAGCAGCCGAACGCCGCCACTGCCGCCATGTTGCTCCTTCCCACCGTGTCGCCATTGGCGGAGGAACACCATTTGTCCCACCCATGCGAAACGCCAATAGGCCCGAAAAATGAAAGCGGCTTGTCTCATTGGGAGAGAGAGAAGAAATCACACCCTCCTGAGTGAAGGCAAGAAGGCTAGGGCGGAAGTACTGTATTTCCTAAGTGTTACGCGCTTTGATTGGTTACCGTCGTGACGTCAAGACTAACGGGCGTACGATCACACCGTCTTCTTTGGTTCGGGTTTGAGCTTCGAGTGAGAACAAAAAAAGTGGTGGCTACCAAAAGTCTAACAACAAATTTATTCTGGGAGGGGGTGGTCAGTTGCACATTAAAAAAAAGAGGAAGAGCGTTGCACGAAAATTGCATAGGGTAATATCGATGCGCATGTTGAAATTATAATTTATATAGCAACAATACAGCTCCCCGGAGTGGGACGACAGATGACTGGTGACCCGTGTGACTGCTTAGTCAGCTTACCAGTTGTTGGTCAGATGTTGAAAGGCAAGTTCAAGGGCCTCTCAGTTCTTACAGTTTCTAATAGTTCTTCATCTCTAAACCTAAAGTGGACTGGGAGCAGACATTCAGACAGGACTGTTCTCTGACGAGCCTACAAATAAAGGGTACTCTCTTTTAGCAGGATGCCTGGGCACCCTATGGCGTAAGCTTTTCCGAACTGTAGCACGCCATCAGGAAAATTACTCTTGAAGGTGTCACAAGAATCCTAGTTGGTTTTGCTGTAATAAACTACCATGGTTCTCAAAATAATTATAACAATAGAAGTGTATGTAAAGTGATGGTCCAGCTGAATCAGAGACAGACAGTAACTATTGCCTTATTGCTTGCTACGTGAAAACTGTATTTTTATCATATATTTCTTTATCAATTAATATTTTTCTGATCATAGCCTTTCCCCTTGCTGAAGAGAGTGCAATGCAGCCCCCAAGCTTTTGAGTCCTAGTAGTAATTGCATTAACAGCCAGCAATACTAGTTCCACTATGTTCACTGTGGCATTCTAAGTTAGGGTGCTTAATATTACCATCCTATTGATTTTTAAATTCACAATAAACATAAGTTAAAAACCACACAATCAAAGGCATCTTGAGAGAATAGCATATTTTCATACTACATTGCTTGGCTGGTAGTATATTCTCAACAGCCATTCCAACATTTGGTCAACTTATATTAGGGATATGGAACAGGAACATTAGATACTTATGTGTGAACATGTGAGCATGCATGCAATGATCTCAAGAGCTGTTCTATGTATCATTTTTCATTATTTTTGTTCTGTGTTTAATAATTTTTTTATTTTCTTAACATGAACTAATACAGAAAAAAATATATACAACAAAGCAAACTAAAACAGACAAGCTAAAATTATCAAAGTTGCCAAGGGAATTTTGAACAAATACAACCAATACTTTCAAAACTTTTAACACTCCCCCCATCTATCTTATCTATCCATCTTTCAACACTCTGTGGGAGTTTAACAAAAAAAGAAATTATCTATACAACAGTCAGTTACTTCATATCCTCTACTGTTTTTCTCCCTCTTCCTCCCTTCCAAACGCCCCTCAAAACCAATCAACTATTCTGAGCATAGTAGCTTCCATTTGTCATTAAATTCTTCTAATGGTCTTCTATTTACATAATTAGTTAACTTTTCCATCACTGCATATTCTGCTAAACTATTTTTCCAACTCTTCAATTGTTGGGGGCTCTGATTCTTGCTGCAGTTGTCATGTATTTGAATAACTCTGACATATTCCTTGAAAGAATTTCTGACATTATATTCAAAAGCATAATCTTGGGACTCATGGGAAACTTGATTTTAAAGATTTTCTGCATTTCTGCATGTATCAATTTCCATTTTTTCCATTATTTTACAACTCCAGCACATATGATAGAAAGTCCCATCCACCCTGTTACATTTCCAGCATTTCTGTTCTGTGTTTTTCTTAATTTTAAAAAAACTATTGAGGTTTAGTTAGAAGCAAGCTCCAAAGAATTTAATGAACTGCCACAGGTGCCCAGGACTGCAGTTCAATTGGCTGAACTACCCTGCATTTTAAACAGCATTCAGAAGAAGATAGGATGCATTTACAACTGACATGTATGGGATTATATATTCTTCCTCTCTATGTGTCAAGGAGAGCAGATTTTGACTCATGCTATACTCTCAGGCACAATCCTATGCATACATTTGTAAGTACTAAGCCCCAAATGCAGTAGGGTTTACCAACAGCAAGTATGCATAACACTGCAGTAGTTAACATAGATCAGTGCATCACTAGCCATGAACTGAAAGAGCTGAACAGGCCTGTGAAGGACAAGACATTTTAGAGGGCATTCATTGATAGGGTCCCCGTAAGTCAGAGATGACTTGATGGCACATAACATCAGTGCAAGTGGGGTTAAAGTGAATTAAGTCTCCAAAGCCCCCAAGTAACTTTCTGTGCAGACAGCATGTCTGGATTCCTTATTTCTGACAATCATGAGGAGCCAGTCCCTATTGCACAGAATAACCTCTTAAGCAAGTTGTCGCCATGATGATCTAATCTGCTGCTGAACTGAATCATGGTAATTCAATGAGGAAGGAGCCTCCACCCGAGTCACTCTGCACAACACATTCAGTCTCTTATATGTTATTACGCTTCTCTCTTCAGAACAGGCATTGAAGTCAGTGGTCGGAGCTCCCTCTGTGTAGGTGAAAGGGATGCTGATCAAGCAAACTGTGTGTGTAGGAGGTGAGGGGCTAAAACTTAAAATAGTTTAAAAATATGTCACTACCAGTTCCTTCCTGCTAATCTGACAAGGACAGGAAAGGCATCTCTAGGATGACCTTCAAGTGATCTGGTTATTGCCTTTGAAATAAAGGCTATGCAAAGTGTCCCTCTCTGTCTAAACAAAAAGCATTTCCAACTTTGTGCACTGAGCTAAAGGTTTCCAAAAGCTAAACACTTCAGGCTGTGGTCTTCAAATGATCCACTATGACACAGTCCCCTTTGCTTCCATGGAGCTCTGTAAAGTCTAGTTCTACCAGTTAAGGCTGATTTAACTAAGGTGACAGGTGGAGGATGGTATGTGGTCCAAACCCCTTTGAAGCAGTGTAGGATGGGTTTGTATTAGTGGGTTTATGCTGATGGCGATGTAGTTAGTAGCTATATCCATAAAGCCCCATCCTATGACTTGCTAGTATCTCCAGCCATGCCACTACCTCTAAAGCTATTCAGTTCTGCCTTTTTTGCTAGAAAATTATCACCAGCCACCACACAACAATTTCCAGAATAGTTGCCATATGTGTCTCTTGCAAAAAACCTATAAAAAGTCTTGTGACATCTTAAAGACTAACACATTAGACATCAGCATTCATGGCCCAATGGATGAGACTTCAGTCCATGAAAGCTTATCCAATAATTAAAAAAAAGTACAACGCTATCATTTTTCTTTACATTCATATATTTGCACAGGCTTCAAAGGCTCTGACAGACTTGGAAGGCTCAGAGGGGAATATTAAATGGCATAAAAGGGCACATCTGTGGTGTTGGAATTATCCCCTTTGCCCTAGCAATAATTTGGGGAGTAGGTTCAGATTCTCAGACTCAGCACCACTTTCACACTGACACTGACACTTCATGCACTGCTTCACTCAGCACTTGGAATGGCACATTTAGGATTCTGTTCCCTCAGATCAAAAGGAAAGCATCACTTTTCTTTGCTTGCTAGACTGCTCACCATAGAACCTAAGCCAAATTGCAGGCTGCTTGTCATTGAGCAGCTTCTAGAACAAGAAAAAACTACAGTGGATCTGACCAATGGCCCTTCTGGTTCAGCATTCTGTTCACACACTGGCTAGCCAGCTGTCCACAGGATTTACAAGCAGGATATTGTTAAGCCCGACATGGAGTTTTCATTTTTCACAATAGCTGTACATTGGGTCGACATTTGCATTAACCTGTCAACCAAAACACCAAGATTCTCTTTTTGTTCAATCATCACCAGCTCAGATCCCAACAACATACTTGAAGTTGGGATTCTTTGCTCTGATGTAGTTCAAAGTAAGCTTGTGGCCATTTTTATGCCCATTCGCCCAGCTTGGAGAGATCCATTTGCAGTTCCTCACAATCCCTTTTTATCTTAACCATCCTAAATAGTGTGGTGTCATCAGCAAATGTGGTGGCTGCAGGTGGGAACAGGCTGGAGGCTCTAAGCTGTTCTGCTTGTCTTCCTGGCAAGCCATCCAATACAGTAAATGTTGCACTTCTTTCACGGAAAGAACATGGTGCATCAGACCAAGGGTCAATCTAGTCTGGCATTCGGTTCACAGGATGGCCAACCAGCTGCTCACAAGATCTGGCAAGAGGACAGGAGTGCAACAGCACCCTGTTATCTATGCACCCCGGCCACTGGCATACCTACGTATACTGCCTGTTACTTGAAGCGGCATTAGGAGTAGAAGCCACACATACGCTTCTTCCCCAGGAATATCAACCATCCCCTTTTACAGCTGTCCAAATGGGTGGTCGTTACTGTCTGCATGCGCTGCATGGAGAAGACGTGACCGGCGCTGCACATGTATTTCGGTTTCGGTGGACCCTGCTTCCAGCGAGCAAGCGTGCTCCAAGGCTTATGCAAAGGACATCCTGACCCAGGACTCAGAACTGACCGTGCCCTCGACCCTGCGGGCGCCAGCCAGCCACGGGCGGCCCCGTCCAGGAGGGCGGGCTCGCTCATCCCCATCAGGTGACCGCGCAGGGGCCGGACCGAGCGCACGTGACCCCGCCGCCGCACAGTCATAGCCTCGCGCGTCCCTGTTCCTGCTCCAGCAGCCGGCCGGGAGAAGTTTCCTGCTCTTTGGGACAGCGCGACAGGAAACGAGACTCCACCACCCATCATGCTGGCTCTGGCGCTGACTCTGCTGCTCACCGCCGGCTCGGCGGTCCTCGCCGAACCCCTCCATTATGTGGATTGCGGTGAGTAGACCCTCGTCCTTGCTGTTTTACGTGGCGCTGCCACCTGTGGCCAGAACATTGACCCAAAGAGGCAGGCGAGACGCCGATGGGTCAGCATTGCTCGGATGCCCTGAGCCCGTCAAGCGAGACGAAGGGTGGGCACAGCGTGACTGGCAGGGCGGAAGCAGCAAGACACCCGAGGCACTGACTGCCGGCCTGGAGAAAAGTGGCTTCCTGGGGTGGGGGACCGCTCCCTCTCTTTAACCGCATACCTGTGTTCACATTCCTGTGTCCTGCTCCTCCTGCAAAAGAAGCCCATGCCAACACTTTCCCTGTTTGTTTGTTTGGTGTCTTTTCTTGTTTTTGCAATAATTAATTCAGAAAACACTGCTTGTGAGAATGTTGTGGTGCATGATATTCACAGCTGGGCAACTTCTGCATCTGCTACTTATGCTGACTGCTTGAAATAGTCTGTGTCAGTTATAGGACAAGGGATGCACAACACCTGCAGACGAGTGAGGGGGCCAGAGCTGTGGCAATAGGTAGTAAAACCAGGTGATTGGGAGTTGGTGGTTGCAATTAATATGATGGTGGTGAGACCCAGGCCAGTCTTGGTGGTTCTTTGTGAAGTGGAGTGATAAGAGGTTTTTCACATGTACTTATTAGATGGACAGGGGAGGAGAGCAGAACTTCCCCCTTTTCTCCTGGAAACCACTTCTCCCCAGCTGTTTCCTAAGCAGGGGCTTCCCCTGCTCTCATTAGAAAAAAAATCGGAAGAAGCAATTTCACAGAGGAGATCATGGGTAGGCACCTACTTTAATCAACATACATGCACAAATACTATATGAGATAATTGAGGAACAGCTGGATTTTATATTTTGAAAATGCGGGATCAACCATTGTTTACTCCCCCCCCCCCATAACCCCTGGAGAGTGCAGTGTACAACCTAACATTATACATGGTAGAGCCTCATTTGAATCCATGTTGCTTCCTCTCACATTCTGTCTTAAGGTGGTAGCCAAACGGAGGCTCCATGGTTTCCTTCCTCACTTTTTAAAAAATATCTTTTCTGATGAAGGTGAAGTTGGGTGAAGTTGAAAGCTTGTAGAGTATGTTACTACCCTAAGACCAATTTTATAGGAAATTGAAAACAACCTGATCTTATAAGTAGGTCCGCCGTCTTCACTTGTAAATTGCCTGAGGGCCAAAGTAAAGCTAGCTACATTACTAGCTACATTTTATTTGCCCTCAAATTAGTAACTGACATTACTTTGTAATTCAGCCTCTTTGCAGCAGCGCAAAAGTAGCACCAGATTTTAATTCACAGATGTTATTGAACTGCTAGAATGAATGCTCAACTCTGCTTTCATAGAAGCTTTCAAGGATATATTTATATGGGGATTCTGATGCTACCAGTTGAATGCTTTAGTACAGAACTAGCAATATGAAAACAAAGTAAGATAACATTGTAGACATTGTGTGGTTGCCAATGCAAAGCCCACAGACATCTTGCATTTGCTGTGCTGGGTTGGCAGGAGTTCAGAAAGGATGCCTGGTGCCTAAATGTGGCACCCAAAATGCACATCTGGGAGCACACACCACCCACCAGACATGCCCTACTCCCAACAGGGTGGCGAAATTATGTGGATTTTCAGTGCTCTAAAACTATTGCTACAAATATGCATAGATAATATCTTTAACAGAGTCCACAATCCATATGGGATCAAAGATCATAGCTAAAACCCCCACAAATATGCTTGAATTTCCTAGCTCAGAGTAGTGGGCTTATATGCCATTTTCTTTTATTCCATCATTTAAAAAATGTTATGACAGCTAGAAGTTTGAATCATTTTTCCTATATTCACTGGATAGTTGCTCAGTTTTACTGGGAAATTTGGCATTATCACAGTTTAATTGGTTGTCTTCTGAGAAACTAATCTTAATTATATCAGAAGGGTTACTAGAATGTATTAGGGTGGTGGGGGGAAGAAAGGAGGTCTATTTCTGGTATAGTGATTTACTTATTATCTAGCACTTTCATGGTTTATTACAGGATTACTATATAGTCTCCATATCTGGAAGTTTCTTTCAGCACTTGCTCACATTAGGAGCTCCATCTGAGCCCATGGCTGTCATTGGGTAGATTCAGGAAACTGGTTTGTATGTGCTCATTGTTATGGGTAGCAGGTTGATTTATATTTTATATTCAGGTTGATTTGCAGGCCCAAAAAAGGGTGCTTCTCAGGGCAAATTGCAACTGCTCACTGCAGTTGCCTCAGAAACCAGGTTTTGTTGCCTTCAGGGACTGCTTCATAAGCAATATCGCCTGTACACAAAGAAATGTTCATGTTGAAAATCATGTGAAGCAGCCATGTTTCTTGGAGAGACTGCCAATATAGATTCAAGCTTTTATTTGAAGCCAGGAAAGCTAGAATAGCCTTGTGAGTTCATTCCATTTCCTTGCTTTTGTGGTGGGGTGTACCTTTTACATGGTCTTGCCAGTGACTAGTACAAGAGTCTTTGGCAAGTGGGGTAGATTGACAAAAGACAAGATGCCCATGTCCAAAGCATAGTACTTCAAGGCTCAAGGGCAAAGGTGCAGGCTTCCGGAAGTTGTTGAGCTCCAGTTCCCGTCAGACCAGTCAGTATGGACAATGGGAGAGTGGGAGTTACAGAGCAGCAACATCTGGAGGGGCACAGATCTCCAGCCCTGGCAAAGGGGATATATTCCCAAGCACCAAAGCAAGTTTTCTCACTTAGGGTGATACTAAATAAGGTGTAAGCTCTGCTGGATACAGTGGGACATACTTCTGCATAAACATCCCTAGAATTACACTGCAAAGATGCTGCCTGAAATGCACTTACTGCAGTGCAAAACACACCATACTCAGTGCAGCTAGCTTATGAATGGATAGATCTGGATGTTATGACTGGCTTATTTTGTTCTTTTCTTGGACAGAAAGGGGTTTACATTTATAAGCAATCTAAATACAAATTCAGCAGTTTCATGAGGCCACAACTTCCAACTTGGGAAACTGTTAAAAATTAGGAATGAAAGATAGATGCATCACTAGTCATGTGAGTATGCAAGTAATTTTATGAAGAACACAAGGCTGATTCATACTTTTCAGTGCATTGGCTAAGGGCTACTACACGGGTGCTTTCAGTGCTAAACTTTGTAAAATGCAGAGAGAAGGTTGCTATTCATTTCCTTTGCGCTCTCTTCACTGGCAAATTTTAGGTGTAAGGTCCTTTGGAAGCAGGGACCTGCCTTTCTTTTGCTTGAATTAAAATACCATGCATGTTAGTGGTGCTGTACAGTTTCCAACTTTTTATCATATCTCTGCAGCCAAGAAATTCTAGATAGATGCAAAGCCAGGACATAGAAGCAAGTGTAGTTTTTAGTGAGTGATCTGGGTCATTTAGCTGTCTCCCGAATGTGCTCCTGAGCATGCCTTTTGATAGTGATCCCGTGCTGGGATTACAGAGCCTAGTGGCCTTTGTAATACACAAATTGTTCACTTGCATGCCCCAGAATGATAAATAATAACGAATAGTTGAAGATAATAGTGGTGTGCTCCCACAGGATAGCTTGATGACACATGACTCTCCTTAATGGCTTATGCAGTTGGATCTAGAGGTAAACAAAGCAGACTGATATTAAATCCCATTGATCTGAATAGTTTTACTTAAGTATGACTATCTCCAATCCGATACTTTACCACAGCAAATACTGGTATATGTATGGAAATATGTCTTTGCTATTCTTGGGGAGGAGTGAGGGGCCATCAAATCTGAAGCATCATGTCTCAAACTCTTCTCTTAGCATTGTAATTAAAGAACTAGCAAATTTGAATGAGCTCAATTCTAATTTTCATGTCTTCAGCTGCAATCCTAAAGACACCTCCAGGGGTAAAGTACTAGTACAGATAGGGTTGCATTGTTAGTTCTAATGCTAGGCTTGGAAAGATTCAGATCCCTAATTAAGGTTTCATTCTTAGGCATACTTACCCATGAAGTTGGCGCATTGAATATAGTGGAACCTGAGTAAATAAACATAGGATTATGCTCCATTACAACCCAATGAGACCGTAGAGGATTCAGGTTTAATTTTATCCTGTGGATGTTTCAGTGAAGAATTAACAACATGCCCAGATGACTTAATTTTATGCCATTCTTACTGGAAGAATGCTTAGTCAGGGAGATGTTGAAAATGGTGGTGCCACTTCCAAATATTTGAGGAACATGTGTCCAAGTAAACAGGAAGATGAATAAATTCTGCTTTCTTCAACCAGATACTTTCTAGTTGTGATTTGTTAGACTACATTTGCTATTATCAGCATGGATGGTGGAAATTGCAGTCCAGTATTATCTAGAGGGCACCAGGTTATAGAAGTTCATGTGGAATGGAAAATAGTGATCTACTATGTAGAAATCATAGTTGCATGAATTAAATATTAGTCCGTTTTTATTTCACTCATGGAAGATTAGAAATGAACCTCATCTCCCCCACCATAAACTACAGCCTAGATAGACTATGCTACTTCATCTTCATTTATTTAGTTTATTTATAACTTCATCATCCACATAAAATTCCCCTTGGGACATACAAATAACACTGCAAGGTTTACTGGGTTTAGTGAGTAATTTGTTGTCCTTCCAACATGATAGGATCTATAAGAGAAAGTAAGATAATGGTTCCATTGCTGTATTCTTGGGTGTCATTAGGATAAGCATGTGTCTCTATACATATATGCCTTTGGCTGATTTCACCAACAAGGGCCTTTGTTGATTGTGCAACTCTGCACCCCAAATTTAAATATAACAAATAGTAATAATTTCAGTGTCTGATTTCAGGCAAGTTAATTTCCAAGTAGAATGTTTAACATCAGAGTCTTGTGGCCTAATTCAGATTTAGGTCAGGTTATATAACTTCCCTTCCTTCAGTTGCATCATTCTCATTGAATTCCTTGCCACTCATAGCCACTTCATTGGCTCAAGATGGACAACTCATATTTTCCCTTTGCAGTTTCCTGGGTTTTTCTCTCAGGAAACCATAAACTCTCAAGGAACATACTTTGGCAGAAATTTAATGAACTTGGCTGCAAAACATTCTGTATTCAGCACAGAGGTGTAACTTGAAAAGCCAGATCAATAAATAGAATCCCTGGTGGTTTTCCTATTGTCATTTGTGCTCAGCTTCTTGGACACAATTTCTGATGCTGCCCAACCATTTCTGCGAAGTGATTTCAAGAATGAAATGTATTTATTTTAAAAATGCAGCAATTCAGGTGCTACTTTTGCAGACAATGTAGTAGTGTACATTGCAATTGTGTAATTTATTCCAAATCAGTGTCCTTTTGTAAACTATCGCAAAAACTGTTTCCAGTCTTTAACCAAGCTATAAGCAAGGTCTGTTTTGGTAATGTTGTGGTAGCTTGATTCACTGTTAAGCTGTTACAGGCAGTTGCAGTTATTATAAGAAATGTGGTTGTGTGGATCAGAATAAACTTTATAGGTCCTTGTATGGTACTCTTCACCTAGTGGTGTCATATCCAAGAGTCTGGAATAGCAAGATGATTAAAATAATGGTTTTGTTTCCACCTGTCTCACAGGTTCCGAGGCTGGAATTATTTTGGAAGTCAATGTGAGTCCCTGTCCAAAACAACCTTGTATTCTCCACAAAGGAGACACCTACACCGTCAATGTCACATTCACTAGTAGTAAGTACAGCCTGTTGATTTCAGACTTCCTTATCTATTGGGATGAATTCACTCCAAAGTTATGTGTCCAGAGATGTGCCAGTTCTTCTGGTTTTTTTAAATATAGAAAATGCTTTCATTTAGGAAAAACCATACATACTATATGTGAAGCATTACATGCAGTGATCCACTGTCTCGCTCTTGCTGTTAGTGTTGTTTGTTGTTGTTTAGTTGCAAAGTTGTGTCTGACCCATCACGACCCCATGGACAACATTCCTCAGCCTCTTCTGTCCTCCACCATCCCTTGGAGCTCACCCAAGCTCACACTCACTGCCTCAGCAACTCCATCCAGCCACCTCATCCTCTGCTGTCCCCTTCTTCTGCTGTCAATTGTTCCCAGCATCAGGGTCTTCTCCAGTGAGCTGTTAGTGTATACATTTGGAAACCTGCGAGTAATGGTCTGCATAATTTTTCCATGGTTTTTCCTACATGGAAGTGATTTTTTAAATGAGAAAATTAGAGATGTAGTAATGAAGACTTTTTAACATAGAACACAAGAATCTGCCTTATTGAGAAAGAATATTGAGATCTAGCTCAGTATCAACAATATTGATGGGCAATAGATCTCCAGGGTTTCAGCCAGGGATCTTTCTTAGCCCAGCTTGGAGATTCCAAGGACTGAAACTGCAAAGCTTGCACTCTACCAAGCCATGCTCATATTAATTATTAGATTTTTATCGTACCTCTTTAGCCAGAAAGGCTCTCTGGACTGGTTACAGGATTAACTTCTGCAGAAGTCTGGAGAATGTAACTGAAAGATAAGTAAGACTGTGCAGCATCGTGGTGGCACAGTTGAGAGCATTTTTGTCTCTTGAAAACTCCTTATTCCAGGCCAGGTAAAAGCTCCTGTTTTAATTGACTGTTGTTAATTTGCTTTTGTTTTGTTCTTCTGCAGAGATTGACAGCCCGGGCTGCCAGGCAAAAGTGTTTGGAGAAATGTTTGGAGTGGATGTTCCCTTCCCACTCGATCAGCCAGATGGGTGCAAGTCTGGGATCAATTGCCCTATTCAGGCAGGCCATACTTACAGCTACCTGACCAAGCTACCAGTAAAGTCAGAGTACCCTAATGTGAGTGTCTTAACAAGCTAATCCTAGTACTTATAGCTGCCTTCCACAACCTTTAACTTCATTTATGAAATAAGATGCCCTTGGGAGGTATCAGAGCCATTTAGAGACCACTCTTTGCCTGATAACACCCTACTCTTCACAAATTGGAAAGTGAGGGAAGTGCCAGGGTGAGTGTCTTTAGGGTTCTTTCTGGCTTAGTCCTTGCAAACAGCAGATGCTTGTGTCTGGACTGTGACAACTGAGATGGTGGGTGGTGGTGGTGGTAGGTTTCACATGATGGAAAGTTTCCCAGCTCCAACCCTCATGAGAAATACTTTCTAGCACAGAATGCTAGCTTGACTTGAACACTTCTCAACATCCACTTACTTATTAACTTATATCCTGCAATTTCCTCCAAGATGCCCAAAGCAGTGTGCACAATCCTCCTCTTTATTTTATCCTCCCAACAAATTGGCAGAGTAGATGGGCCGGAGAGACAAGGACTGGCCGAAAGTCACTCAGTGAGCTTCCCGGTTTCCCTAATTCCAGTCCAACACTCTACTGCTATGAAATACTGCCTCTCTTTGTGCAGGGTATTCTTTTGTATAAAGAGGCATTCAGTTGCACTAGCCCCCACCTGAAGTCTCTGATCTGCATGTCCCAGTATTGTTTACCACACCATCTTCTGTTAGTGAGAATCAGGCTGCAGACCCAACCAATTGTGATGAAAAATATCCCCTTCCTGACTACTTGGGGTGCAGGTGAAAAATGCCACAGCCTTGCTGTAATGAACCATCTGAAATAATCCTGATTCTGTGTTTGAAGAGTAGAGAAAGGCACAGCATATGCTCTTTAGCAATAAAACATTCTTCCTAATAAGGTACCATCAACTCTCAGTCTGGACGGTAAACATTTGAAACCCATTTTAGCCTAAGATTGGTCTTAGGTGTGATGGTTTCTCTCCTCCCTCCTCCACTTCCCACAGTAACTGCTAATGATCGGATGACAGGATCAGCTCTTCTCACTTTTTTCCTCTCTTTTCCAGATTAAACTTGTTGTCATGTGGAAGTTGGAGAGTAACAATGTACAATTCTTCTGTTGGAAGATTGCTGCTCAGATCTCTGGCTAAGAAAACCCTGCTTCACCCTTGACGGCTTCTGGGGGAGGGAAAAATGGGTCTAGAGAGGAATCAAATGCTTTGCTTCATTTCCTGTTGCACTTCTGCAGCAATTGCTCTCCTTCTTCAGCGTTGAAGTCTAGATGCAAGAGGGGGCACTAGTCAGAACTAAGGTTCCCAAGAGAGACTGGGGTTTGGGAGAAGTCTTACTGTAACTCAGGGAGAAGATCTTGTAACCATTGCTAGAAGCAGGATTCTGATTGCTTGAAATGGAATGTGTATTGTGAAGAAATTGTGAGAAACTGGGCCAATAACCATCAGGACAATTGCTGCTTGTCAACACTTCAGTGCCTCTCATGGTCAGAAGCTGGCTTCAGGCTTCAGTGTGTTTCTTCCCTCCCACCTCCTTGCTCTTCCAAGGCCTCAGCTTTCCTTGGATCTACGTAAGCTACCTGGAGCCAAAAGAAGATTGAGCAGCCACCTGCTGTAGCTACTTGCTGCAGATAGGAAGATCTGTTCCTTTCAGTAAATACCAAACCAAATGGTATTTGGTCTTTACCCAGACATCATGTGTATTAACAATTTTGCACTGTCTTATAACTCACCTGGGGTTGCTGGGGGAGGTGCTCTCCAAATCCAGCTTTTTATAACTTTCTTCTAATAAACTCTTTATGATGAAACACCTTTCTGTCCTGTCTGGGGATGTTGAGACATTTACTATTGGGAGCTTATTGTGTTCCATCTTTGTGCATCTGAAGATAAACTGAAGGTTTTTTAAAAGTACATTGTCTCTGGCTGGACATAATCTGCTTACTACTAGGTAAAGTAAGTGTTGGAAGAAGATTCCAGAATGTTCTATCTTCTGCAGCTCTCTTAGCTCTGTTGTGGCACTAGACATACGCTTTTGAAAGTGAAGGGAACAGCTTATGTACATGACTGAGGGTGGGATAGAGACACTGCCGCAGCTGAAAAGAATATGGTTGGAGGCAGGATGCTGTCATTCAAAGTGGGCTCTTGTGTTTTTCCTTCCCACTGAATCAGCAGGTTCTGTCTTCCTACCAGCTTCTAATTAAAAGAGGAGGAAAAGGCAAGAATGCTTATGATCAGCTCCAATCTATAAAGCCACAGAGCACAATATAAAATCATTTATTTAACATCATGTATTTTTCATTCCAATAGAAAGCACCACATAGAGCACTTTCCAAAAACTAAGGAGCTGTAATCCTTCCCACTTTCCAAACTATTATTTCAGCAGTCACAGAAAGTGCAGGGTAGATGCCTGTGGTTGGCATGAATAAAGAAAGACTGAGCCAAGAAGTCCTTTGGAGTCCAAGCTACTGTCAGACTGTGACTAGGATACCCTATGTAACTGAGGATGGCCACCCCCTGTTCTAGGCTCATCTTAAGGAGAGTGTGTCCTTTGGCCTGCTATGATTTGAGCTTTGGACTGATTCAGCAAGGTGCAGCTGAAATTCCAATGGCATATTGGAATGGGAATGTTCCTCAGCTGCTGTAGAAAGAATATGTAGTTCATCGATATCTGTGTTGCTTGTGAGACACTGCCTATTTAGCACACAAGCTGGAAGTGACCTGCACTCTGTGCCACTTCACCAACTGATGGAGCGATTAGGCTCAGATGTGTGTCTGAGGACAGTTGGAGAAGGACTGGAAGTAAAATTAGAGCACTGTGGTTCTGTGACAGATAAAAGGAATTCTACATAAAGTGGTCTTGAGTGGAATGCAGGAGGGAGTACTGTACAAGGAATAAAACCTTGAGAGAATATATCATGAAGGCATAAGATTCTGCAAGTTCATGATATGAACTGAGGGGCAAAAGGGTTGGATGGTGGTGAACATACTATTGGCCCACACAGTGCCAAGTTAGCAACTGAGGGCCAAGTTCCTCTGACCTAAGTGGGGATGGAAACTTCAAATAGCACATGATAAGCAGACTGGGACCTGAGTGTTTATACTGTAGCTGAAGCAGGAAGCTTGTGCTGAGCAGGCCTGCAATGGCCATTGCAGCTTCCCATTCACCTTTGTCCCTGTCAGTTTAGCCCAAGTGAGACATGCTGAGTTTCTATCTTTGGGAGACAAAGGATTTTTAAAGCTGCTATCCTGGTAACTCCTTTCCAGCTGGACAGACCTCCAGTTCAAAGCAAATGGCTGAAAGGGTTGTCTCTGTTCCATTGCTGCTCTTGGAGTCATGCTGCGTCAGGATTCTCCAGCGTTTCTGGCACACACCGGTGGGGCTCGGCTAAGGCTACATAGCCAGGCAAGCAGTTGCAGCGATACGAGCCCTCTGTGTTCTCGCAGGTGCTTCCTTCACACAAGGTTACAGAGGCATTTGCTTCTTCACACTCATTAACATCTGATAAAGGGGTAGAAAAAATATTTATCAGGCCCAGAGATCCATAACCTATCCCACTGTGCTTTGTCCAGTGTTCTCCAGTACTCCATTCTTGGTTGTGGATTCTATTCATCAGCCTTTACGTATCTTACTGTGCCAGACATTTCTGGGGTGTGTATCTGTTTTTCTGTGAGATCATGGATACAGTGGTGCTGTTAGGGTAGGGCTTCAGAGCAGAAGCCCAGGGCCCCACTCAGGAGAATCCGTAGAAGAGAGCTAAAATGTAGCAGGTAGCTTAATACTTTTTGAAATAATATCATTTAAAGGGGGGGGGGGGCTTCTGTAAGACCATTGGCTAGAATTCTAGATAAGCCCTCCATGGATGTGTAGCATATTCAGGAGTATGGAGGGGCTGCTGTGGAGAGGAGGAGATGTCTGCTTTCTCCAGTCCAGTTTCCTTAATCCAGACCAAGCTCATTAAGTTCAGAGACTAAAATTATGTAACGGTACCATTCTTTGTGTAGGAACAAGCACAGGTGATTATAACCATTCAAACACTGCTGTGGACTCTGTGGAACACACAGGGGCAAACTCCCCCATATGTAGCTAAAGTCTTACTTAAACTGGAAGTGACTCAACTTTTCTCACACAAAATATATCTGTAATGAGCAGAATCCACCAAACAACCCACCCACTAGGAGAAAGCACTGATTTGTTCCATCTCACTTCCCCTCTGGCTGAACTGAGTCTACATTGCCAAAGGTAGATGAGGTAAGACACTTTGTGACTTGGAAGTTGCTGTACTAGTTGAACATGGAACTGAATGTACTCTCTTGATTTTCCAATATAATTGCCTTGGGAAAAGCATTCTATTTTTTTCTCTGTACAAGGGTCACTTCATAGTGGCAGAAACAAAAGCTTTGAACAAAAATATCTGGATTTTGCAGTTAGAACTTTTTTTTTCTGACCAATACAGGAGTTATCCTTAAAGGGATGCCCGGCAAGCTAGTTAATGATAATATTAAGGATAATGACCAGGTAAAAGGGAGTTCGCACTATACAAACAGCTATTCTGCAGGTTGTGAGATATCTTTTATCCAGTTGTAGAAACATGTGTGTAGAGTTGGGGCCATTTGCAACGCCATACAATGCTTCTGTGGTCTACAATCCATGGACTGTATCCAGAGGTTTTCCTAATTCAAGTCCCAATGGCTGAGAATGATGGAAGTTGCAGTGCAACATGAATGGCTTGTACCAGGTTGTGGAAGTCTGGTCCGTTCTGTGGAAGTCCGCCCCCCCCCCCCCCCGCCAAGACTTGCAGTAATTAAGATCGGCACCCTTTGTGGGGGAGAGGTCCTGTGCCATGAAATGTACGAAACACCATTTGCATTGTTGTAAATTGCCCAGAAAGCTTGGACTATGGGGAGGTGTAGAAATGAAATAAACAAACAATAGTGCCTGCAGTAATAAGTAAGGCTCAGAGTTCTGTATGTGCACTCTTAGAATATCTCTTAATAAATAGTAATTAACACTATTTGCATAGTTCAGCCTTCCACATCCTGGGAAAGTTCTGAGGCACTTGGTTGCAGTTTGTACTCCCAGAGAGTTCATGGCAGAGCCAAGACTGGAATCTTCCTCTTTCTGCAGAGTTTCATTTCCTTTGTGGAGCTACTTACCCACACAGGCCATGAGAATCAAGTCTAATTGGAAGCCATCAAAGCAGTCGCAGGTGTAGCCCTCCTGTACACGCACACAGCGTCCATTATCACAACCATTCAGAATCCCACACTCCTCTGCTTGCAGCCCTTCGAAGCTGCTGTACTGCCCTGAAGTGAAGAGGAAACCATAAGCTTATAAAGAAGGAACAGTCTATCAGCACATTTTACTATCAATTAAGTAAAATATTATTCTGGGTTTAAATATTAAGAATACAAGCCAATTTGCTATTAATTCTTGTTCCGGCAAGTGATATGCATGTAGATCTCTTCATTTGGATTAGCCTACCTGGCTATCTAAAGAGAGCTTTTACAGTAGGGTGGGCAATGTTGGCAGGACCCGAGTCCATTTTTACTGCCTCCTCCAACAGCTTCTCCCAGACTGCTCTGGCAGCAAAATTAATCCGTGATTTATTGCCAAATCATGTGGCAAATTGCTACAGGGAAGTAATTGGATGAAAGTTACCTTGTTGTCAAGCTAAATTTGACCTAGGTGCTGCTACAGAGCAGATCCATTCTTTTTGCCACAGTAAGTATTGCAAGTGGTGCTGGAGGGGAGTAAGAGATGGTGGGGCCAACTATACCTGCAGGCTGCGTGATTTCCATTCCTGCATTACAGGATATCTGCTTAAGCATCTGGCTTGATTAGAGGGCTGCACTCAAGATTTTTCTGAATACCTTGGCAAGGGTGAATAATTGCCCTGTAGGTAAGAACCCATTCCTGGCTTCTCCCTGTGCATATTTTGGCACCCAGCACCCAGCCCAAGGAGTGATACCGTGCAGGTCAGTGCTCCCTAATCAGTTCAGCAATAATGTTTGCATAAAGCTTGGATTGTTTATGCATAGCAGTCCCCCAGACATACGCAAAACTGCAGCCTGTTTTGTTCTGTTTTTATTTTTCTCTGGTAATTACCAGTTTGGTCGGGCAAGTAGTGTGGCTGTTCCTGCAGTGGATGGAGCGGTGGTGCTTGCAGGACTGCACCATCTGCAAATTCATTTCTTGGTTCTCTGTTGGAGAGGCTGGTATCAGAAGCCCCATATGCAAGGCCTAAATGATTATAATAGGACTCTAAATCTGGGCCATAGAATCCATAATGATGGTCCTCCTGATGCTGTTCATATTCATAGCCAGGCCTTTCTCGGAGTCCAGCCTCACTTCTGGCAACATTGCACAGTTGAGCAAAGTCCTCTGGAAGGAGAGTAAGAGAAAAGATGTTGATAAAAGACCACCTACTCCTGCTTCAATCTGCCCCAGTATTACAATCACCACCAGAGGCCACCAGCCCCTCTGCATTACCAGGTGAGGTAGGTAACCTGTGAAAGGGACTTTTCCACTAAAAGAATGTTCTTCCCAGGCTCAATCACATCTGGAGGGCACCAGTATGGGAGAAGACAGCAATTTCCAACACTGTTCAATTTGCATATGAAAAGGTTTTTCTTGTGTCCTAGAAGGAAGCTATCCCCTCATCCTCCTCAACTCAACTCAACTCAACTCAACTCAACTCAACTCAACTCAACTCCTTGCGATCAAGGAAACTGAGGTCCCTAACAAGAGTCGATTGACATGGGCAAAATGAAATCTGTGACACAGGCCAAGTATGGAGCCTTTTAGTCTGTGTTCACATGTAACAATTTTCTGGAAAATTATTGTACATGATCAGTGTACTCCTGATTGCTCCTGCTTGACATCCATGCCATCAGGAGTATACAACGTAATCAGTAATGAACCAGGAAACAAACTGTAGCGTAACAGCTCAGCCAGGACAGTTGACTTGTTCCCAAACAAGCTGGGAATTGAAAACCAAGTATAAACTCTGGCTTCTCGTTCTAGCTTCTTATGGGACCCCTCTTCTCCTCATATCTTAAGTGACAGGGGCATTCTCACCAGAGGACCTGGGGGGACAGAGTGCACAGTCCTGACTCCAGGCCTCTCCATAACGGCAGCAGCACTCTGTGTATGTGGTCTGTTGCCCCAGCAGTGGCTCATTACACATATAATTCGATACTCTCTCCCAGCAGATGTCCAAGTGAATGTCACGTTCATCCAACTCATCTGTCAGTGAATGAAACAGAAAAGTCCATTGTAAGAGAGCAGAGCAAAGGAAGAAGTGTCACCTCATCCAAATTTCTGTGTTGGGTTAGTATTAGTGTATTGTGCTACATTACACCTCGTGACCTTTAATTACTGTAATTGCCACAGGGTTGCGGTTTGTCTTGTCTTGTTTTTATTTTCCTTTGTAACATAATTTGGAATCATTGTTACTTCCTATTTTTGGAATTTAAAAATACTGAGGACCAATATGACTTCAAAATAAGACGGAAACACAAGAAGGAGTTGTTACATAGACTGAATGAAGATGATCCACTGACGGGTGGAAGCACTATGGCTCAGTGGTGCAGCCCTTATGTTGAACAGAGAAAGCCAAGTCTTTGTAGGACTTGCAGAAAATATTAGGTATTTTCAGGTTGGGAAAATCCTGGGACTTCTACTATTCAGGATCATCTGTCCTGGCCTAGATGACCCACTAGTCTGACCCAATAAAGTTTCTACTTTATTTTTAAATTTTTAAAAATGGTTATTTATTTAAAACTACTTTTATCCCACTCTTCAGCATGAACACTCTCCAGAGGCAGCCCCACGCAATGCAGTAATCCAGTAAAATCCAGCTCTTCTGTGTTGGTCTTTTTCTTTGCCTTCATGTAAGTTAGACCTTGTCTTTTTTGTTAACAGAAAGTTTAAGTCTTAGATTTCTTTCAGAGGTGTTAAAGCCTTTTAGAAGGCATCTTACACACTCACCTGCAGTACTGGATGTGTTGATGCAGCGGTTGCGGGTTGCATCCAGCACGAGGGGAAGGCTACAGAAGCAGTGGTAGGAACCAGCTGTGTTGAGACACTTGCCATTTGCACAAGTTTCTTCATTCTCACACTCATCTAGATCTGCAGCCAAAGAATTTACACCAACCAGCAAATCAGAGACCGACTTTTGACTGTATCACACAGATAGTTTCCCCCAGTCAGGTGTGCATAGGATTTCAGGCATCACCTTGCTCATCCCACCTGATGCTTTCCATAAATGCATCATTCCCTCCACAAAGTGAGAGCAACTTTTCACAATATGTGAAGCTGCTAGAAAGAGGCTTCTCACCAACGCATTCAAGCCTGCTGGAATCGTAGAAATATCCGATGTGGCAGAAGCAAGTAAACCCCGGTACTGTGTTCACACAGTGTCCATTTCGACAAACTTCAGGGCCAAACATTTCACATTCCTCAGCATCTATAGTGAAAGCAAGAATCTATCAGACACAGAAAACAAGCATCTGGGACCAACAGGGGTTTTCAAACTGTATCTCAGGAAAACTTTTTCACACCAACTAATCTATTTCAGAATTCCTGTCTCTTGCTGTAGAACCCCTTGCCTATTGTAGAAGATTCTGGGATGCATTCCAGGATGCATTCCCATTTTATGTGTGGTGCTGTATTTGTCAGGCCTGCTGTGAGTGAACTGAGAATAGGGACATGGGGCACTGGGAATTCTGTTCTGTTTGAGCCTGATGGCATTCCACACTGTTTCCACACATTCCCAGTGTGGCAGGCTGCAGCATTTTCTTTTCTGATTCAGGAAGGTTTTGTATGTTTTTTTTCTGGTTGTGCCACTTGGTCAAACAGTAATTTGCACAAATTGGATTTTTTTGTTTGTGATCTTGCTATTTGCACAAATGAGGCTATTTTTCTTTTTCTTTTTAATTCCCCTCAGTCTTTCACATGTTTCCAAAAACACAAATGTAGCTTATAGATTAGTTGTCATTTCCTCGCATAATTTCTTACTGTCTGATGATTAATTGTTTATAGCCTCATTATGTATAAATCTGTCCTAAACCTAAGGGGGTATTTCCTTTAAAACCTTCTTTCTCACATATTTTAACCTGTCAGATTATATTTGTTTTATGGGCTGTCCATCTGTGTGCAAGTGCGTTGCATTTGTCTATTTCCTCTTTGCATGGCTAATAGCATTCAGGAAGGAAGGAACTCTGTGAGGAACATGGTTCAGAAGTGCAGAGGGGAGAAGGCTGAAACTCTTCTCTCCTAGTGGTACAACCCCTTCACTTGCTGCAGCTCCAGCTGCTGGATCTTCCTCATCCTATCTAGCTTGGTCTAGCTTCTACTTGGTAGAAAAAGAAATGAGTGTACCTGTGTAAGATATCTGTCCAAAGATCAGCGTCCCTTCCACAGGGATATAGCCCTTCCCACTGGGGCAAATCTCAATATATTCCACTGGCAAAAATGGAGGAAAAGTAGGAAAAGGCCCAGCAGACCAGGGAGACACAAAAACAAAAAGTAGGTTATTACAGCACACAACTGTGATACACCCTCTTGCCCTAGGTCTACCCAACAAAAAATGCCAGTGCAAGATAGCATACCTGAGCCAATGACAGGGCATGGGTATGTTTCACAATTGTCTCCCCAGGCAGCCCCTTCAGTGCAACAGCATTCTTCCTTGGTGGTGTTGTTGGCCAAGACACTCTCACATAGTGGGATGTCACTGATATGATAGTAGCATTCCTTCCTCTCTGAGCCTTCGGGATGCAAAGAAACAGGCCTTCCAGGATCTCCTGAAATTAAAGAGAAGATGGAACAGATGTCCTTGCTAATATCGCTCAGATTCGTCACGAGCTGGACTCCACTAATGAATCAGAGGTTTCTGGGGAGACGCCAATGCAGCCGTCTGGTCCAGAATTATTAGATGAATTTCATTTATTGTGGCCCGATGATGTGGACAAGGTGCTTGGATGAGTACGTCCCACCACTTGCCTATTGGACCCTTGCCCGTCTTGGTTATTAAATAATTCCAAGCACGGGATTGGGACCTGGATCTTGGAAGTGGTTAACGCTTCTCTGAGGGAGTGTCGGGTGCCTGCCCCTTTAAAGGAGGAGGTAGTCCGTCCGGTCCCGAAGAAAGCGTCACTGGATCCAGAGATGGCCACTAACTTTAGACCAGTGGCCAACATCCCGTTTCTGGGCAAGGTGTTAGAGCGGGTGGTGGCGGGACAACTCCAAGCACTCTTGGATGAAACTGATCATCTGGACCCATTTCAGTCCGGCTTCAGACCTGGGTACGGTACTGAATCTGCCTTGGTCGCCCTGTACGATGACCTGTGCAGGGAGAAGGACGGGGGAGTGCGTCCCTGTTGGTTCTTCTGGACCTCTCAGCGGCTTTCGATACCATCGACCATGGTATCCTTCTGGATAGGCTAGCGGGATTGGGAGTCGGAGGCACTGCTTTGCAGTGGTTCCGTTCCTATCTCAACGGCCGATTCCAGAAGGTAGTGCTGGAGGACTATAGCTCTGCGCCATGGCAGCTATGCCATGGAGTACCACAGGGCTCCATTTTGTCCCCTTTGCTGTTTAACATCTACATGAAACCACTGGGAGAGGTCATCAGGAGGTGTGGGCTACGGAATCATCAGCGAACTGATGATACCCAGCTCTACCTCTCATTTTCCACTAATCCAGGTGAGGCAGTGGCTGTGCTGAACCGGTGCTTGGCCGAGGTTATGGGTTGGATGAGAGCCAATAAACTGAAGCTCAATCCAGACAAGACGGAGGTCCTGTTGGTTGGCGGATTGGGCTTTGGAGAGGGTGGATTTGACCTGGCCCTGAACGGGGTTGCACTCCCTCTTAGGGACAAGGTCCACAGCTTAGGAGTACTCCTTGACCCGGAGCTTTCATTGGAAGCTCAGGTGACAGCAGTGGCAAGGAGCGCTTTCCTTCAGCTTCGGCTGATTAATCAGCTGCGCCCCTACCTGGAGTACGACTGCCTGGCGACGGTGACACACGCACTGGTGACTTCCTGCCTTGACTTCTGTAACGTGCTTTACGTGGGGCTTCCCTTGAAGACGGTCCGGATACTTCAGTTGGTTCAAAATAGAGCTGTCAGGTTGCTGACGGGGACGGGGCGTTATGTTCACATGACTCCAGTCCTCCGACAGCTTCACTGGCTTCCCATTGAAGTCCGGGCCCAATTCAAGGTGTTGGTTATGACCTATAAAGCCCTAAACGGCTTGGGGCCTGGTTACCTGAAGGAGCGCTTACATCCATATATGCCCGACCGCCCCTTGAGATCTGCGGGAGAGGCCCTTCTCCGGGAACCCTCCGTGAAAGAAATTAGGAGGGTAGGTACTCGGAGGAGGGCTTTTTCTGCGGTAGCACCCAATCTATGGAATGTGCTCCCCAGAGAGGTCCGCCTGGCGCCGTCGTTAATTGTTTTTCGGTGCCAGGTGAAGACCTTTTTATTTAAACGTCATTTTAATTGTTAACAATATTCACTTATTCATCTGGCCAGGGCAACTTCTTTTCTTTCCTTTCCTTTTCTTTTCTTCTTTTCTTTTCTTTTATAACTTTTCTTTTACAACTTCTTTTATATCGTTTATATTTTATTTATTTATTTTATATTATTAATTTTAATTTTATATTGTTATTTTTGTATTGTATTGTATTGTATTGTATTGTATTGTATTGTATTGTATTGTATTGTGTTGTAAGCCGCCCTGAGGCTTCGGCAAGGGGCGGCATAGAAATGTTCTAATAATAATAATAATAAATAATAATAATATCATTCTGTGGGGCTACAACTCTGACATTCTATGAAACTTCCTCAAGCTTCCCTAGATGGATGTTTGGTGTGATCCAGCATGGCTTTTCTTGTGTTCTTATGTTGATTTATGATGATAATCTGGAAAAGCATGATCTCCGAAGAAGTTTACTATAAACAGATGCTAAATTTTAGCACTGTAGAGTGTGTTTCCAATGCCAAAATTTTTCACTGAGGTTTGTTTGTTCATTGCAAGTATAGGACAGTTTAGCAGTAGCTCTGCTATATTTTGAATATGGAAAAATGCAATTGCCCCCAAATAGCAAGTGAGCCCTCTCTTTGCTGTGAGTGATATGTGAAACTGACATGAGTGATATGTGAAACTGATCTCCTATGGCAATCATTATAAACAGCACACTTTTCCTTCTCCCTAGTGTATTCTGTTTGGTTAACTTTATTGTTCTTACTATGTTCTAATTATTTTAAAATGCTTCCAGTATTCCTTCAATATTGGACACTGATCCAAGGAGGGTCAAATAAGGAGGGCTACCCCCTTCCAGTATACTGTCTAACCAGTTTAGGAATTCTTAAATTTATTTTTGAAGCCTGTGTCCAAAGTCAATGCTTAAATGTTTTCATCAAAACTCATTAAGTGGTAACAACACACATGGCTAATCACCATTCCATAGGAAAGCTGCCTCTCATACAATATGTGGAGAAGGGACATCATAGCAGTGTAAGATAAGGGATTACAGGAGTCCTATTGGTTAAATAAAACTTGGCTAGGATGTACATTTTGGTGTCAGACAGAAAGGTCTTAAGTTTCAGTTCCCTGGCTGTAAATACATTAAAAGATTTTAAGCAAAGATTTCCCACATAGGAGGTAATCCATTTTTTACTGTCTTTCTTCACCAGCCAAGAAGATGATAGTTTAAGAAGCATTCATGAAACCAAAAGAGCCCCTGGGTTTGTTTGATTGGAAAGGTTGAAATGCCATCCTTAAAGCCCAGCTACTGGCAGTAAGAGCTTAAAACTAGAATGTTCTGGTATTTTTGGTGTTTTGAGCTCCACACCTTTTGCCTCTGGCTTCACCCACCATTGTGATGTGGCCCCTGAGAGCTTCTCCAAAATGAAATTGGCCCTCAGGCTGAAGGAAGTTCAATGCCCCTCTTTTACACAGACCCACAAAAGGAACTTGTGGCCCTCGAAATCTCACCGATGCCCGCTCGGGGGCGGCACTCCCCTGCTTCCGTGTCATACTCCTCATGGTCACTGGGACAAAGGCACAAGAAGGCTCCTTCTACGTTCTCACAAAGGGCAGTTCCACACACAGCAACCATCATCTCACATTCATTCACATCTGCAAGATAAATCATCAGAAGCACGAGTACTCCAGAATATTATATTCCCCATTAGGTATTTATATAACCCAACTCCTCCTAATACATTCCCTACTAACCCTTTCTTCCCCTTACATAAGAAGTAGAATTCTTACAGTTGGGGGAAAAGGAATAGTCTCAACAACAATATATTAGGCAGCCCATTTTATTTGTTCTGACACATCATTTCTCAGGAAATTTATTTCTTAGTGCACAATCCTATGTCTATTTAGAAAGAAAAAAATCCTACAATGCCCAGCATTCCCTCACATGGCTAGCTGAGGAATCCCTGGAATTGTAGGACTTTTTCCCTTTCTAAATAGGCATAAGATCGTGTCTTTACAAGTTTAGAGATATTACAACAACAAACTGTGCTTTAATGCCTGGCTTGCAGCCATTTTTTTTTCCTGGTTGACCTCTGAATACACACATGTGCCCCACTGGGAACAAAGCTCCTAGTGGAAGAAGAACTTCTGAGGTGGACAAATGAGGTTGTATAGTATCCATCCTCAAAGATTTCAAAACCTATCATGTTATCAAGCTTTCTGTTTCTCCCGGGGGCAGCACCTGAACCCGTGGGTTCAAATAAACAGGAAAAGGATTTAAAATAAATACCAGACAAATGTTCTGAATGGCACAACCCATTACCTCAGGTAGAGGACTCTCCTTCATTAGAGTTCCTTAAGCAGTGACTGGAGGGCCATCATTTGGGGTTGCTATAGTAGCAGATTTGGGAAATTGAGTAGAGGTTTAACTGCTTGACTTTGAGGTTCCTTGCAGCACTATGAATCAGCCACTTCTACCCAGGTGTCCCCTTTTTGCGTGAAATTTCCTCTCAGCTACTTTATGTTGTACTTACCCTTTGTGATTTGTATTCTAACACAAAAGTTGTGCTGTCATCACATCTAGTTAGCTCTTCAGGAAAGGATTCAGGTCCTGGAGGTTCACCAGGGAGCTATTTTCCCCTTCAGCCCTCCACAGGCAGCATAATGCTTTAACTGGAAATCAGTTTAGAAGCTGGCCTTTTCAGGTAGCAGCAGTATTTACAAAAATCAGGTAAGATAAGCACTGTCTCCCTGAAGCATAAGAGCTCTTGGTCCTACTTGTTGGAAGGCAGTCAGCACCCAACACAATGAGTTGAGACATTCTGTAGGGGACGGAATAGAAAAGCTTTTAATAAATAAATATGAACAAGAAATGTTCAGGGGTTCTTACCAATGCAGTCATGGCCCGAAGGTGAGTTTTCATAGCCACGGTCACACAGACAACGGAATGAGCCATCTATGTTGTCACAGAAGGCATGGCTCCCACACAGTGTCTCATTGGCACATTCATCAATATCTGGGAGAAACACCAGTGAAGGAATCAGTGCGGAGCCCCCTTTTCTGTAGCAAAGCATATCTTGATCTGTTCTTGTTTCCAGGAGCGTACTGCAACCAAGCAAAGGCCCTGGCACTTTTCTTTTAATTAGTGAGGACTCTAGTGTTACCTGCCACCCATTCAGAATTAACTGTTCCCTCTGAGCTTAAGTGCAATTCTCACAGCTGTGGGGAGATGAACTTTGTCAAGAACAATATATTGTTCCCAGTCGTCATACAAAGAATTTTGTATAGCTTAACCTTGAATGGGCAGTAATGGCCATGAGGCTTGCAATGACCTGCTCCTGGTGGAGATGGAACTTTTAGCACTGGTTTATTGATATGGATCAGCACAGCCACTTGCCTTTTTGGACTCTTCTTGGGGGCACAGCTACAGAGACTGTACCTCAGTTTTTATCACTACATTGCTATTTGTACTCCAATTACACTCAGACAAATCTGCCTTTTACACTGTTCTTGCTAGCTCAGTTAAGAAATGTGTACAGGAAAAGGAGAGAATTCCATTCACTTATTTTAAACAAGCATGACTCAGTATGCTGTGAAAACGTGTAGAAGACCAAAGCAGAGGAAAGCTATACCCAATGACGTGCTCAAGAATTAAGGAGACAAGTGAAATGGCAGCCACATATTGTTCTATGAGGACATTTGGAAGGAAGTGTAGTGATAGGCAAAGAAAGAAAGGGGCAGTACAGGATGCACAAGTACAAATAAGTTAGCAAAAGCAAATTGAGTACACTAAACTATAAATCAGCCTAGGTGAGATGCAGATGATTTCTATGTATTTGTTAAGGATAGAGATACAGGATGTATGTGACTGTTAATGATGCTAGAAATGGCCAAATCAAAGCAGTCAGGTTCATCTAACCATGCAAAGATATTCAACTGCACTTAACTGTCTTTATTAGCTTAAGTTGTAGGGCAACAGAGAGCTTAGACATCAGTAGCTTAGTGGCTTCTGAATGATAAAGACAGGCAAAGCACTGGTGCTTCCTTGCTGAACAAGATTTTCAATCCTCTCCCCTCCAGTCAAAATCCTACATTGCAGAGGCTCTTTCTTGACTTTTACACACCCTTTAAATTTTCCAGAAAAGGGACCCACCAATGCATTCACCAAATGATGTGCGATAGAAGCCAGATGGACAGCCCATAATGCAGTGATATGAACCCAGTGTGTTCTGGCATTGCCACGTGCCACACATAGTATTCCCGTATTCTTCACACTCATCCACGTCTGTCATCCAAGGCAATGAGTTTCAAAAGAAGAGGTCAGAAAAACAAAAATAATAAGGGACTGTCTATCTCCAGGGCATAGGGTATAAACAAAACAAAACAAACACACATATAAACCTCAGACAGAATTCAGGTAATAGCTTGCATTACTGCCCTGGTAATGTGCACTTATAAATGCCTCTAGCACATGCTGCGTTGCCTCAAAGCCAAAGAATCAGGATGGAAGCATGGGCCGGGACACACAAGACAGCCTTAGAAGTCCTGAGAGTCCAGTGGAGCAAAAATAAAAGATGCATTTTCCCATGTGCTAGAGGCAAGAACAGATGTTTTCCCATGCAAATGAGTTATTTTCATCAGGATCTTGACTTATGAGGAAAACTCCTCTCCCTGCTTGGTTGGATACCGCTAATTATTACCCTGTACCACCATGGGTACTGTTTGCATTTTTAAATGTGCACATGAAATGCAAAGATGCCCTTAACATCATGTTTGTTTGTCTCTGATAGTTGGCCTTTTATCTTCTTTCAGAGGTCAGTTCTTACCAATACAGTCATCTGTGTCCTGAGAATGTTTGAAGCCAGTTTGACACAAGCAAGTGTAAGATCCTTCTGTATTGAGGCACTGGCCACGCAAACACCTGGACTGGTCTGCACACTCATCTACATCTGGAGAACATAATTTAGTACAACACAAAAGATGCAGAGTAAATTATAAAATTTCACAATAACCTGAAGAAAAATTGAAAAGGGAAGGCAGGAGACCAGGAAAAAAAAAAAATAGGAAGGGCTGACAAGGACTGATGGGTGAGCCTGATTGAATGGAATTACTATGAGCCTAAGTTAAGCCTAGGACCACTTGGGATGAATGACATCAGGGACTCTCGTAGTTATAGCCCTCTCAGATGCCAGACATTAATTCCCTAAAGTTATCCTTACAAATGTGGGAAGTGGTAGGAAGACCTCATGGCACTGGGAGCATTCATTGGCACCAGGATGAAATGAGAACTACATTTCCCATATTCCTGGGGTTATGGAGCTGCCTTAAACTGAGTCAGACACTTGGTTCAGCTAGCTCAGCACTGTCAACACTGACTGGCAGTGGCTCTCCATGGATTTTTCCAGCCCTATCCAGAAATTGCAGGGATCTTCTAAATGCAAAGCAAGTGCTGTAGCACTGTATTCCACCCCTTTCCTTGTGGGACAATCTAGGCCAAAAGCTTCTTTTGCCACTAGGACTCCCTCTGCTACCCTGCCTCATAGGGATAAATTTGGAAAAGTGTGGAGTTGGTGATGTGGAACTGAACTGCTTCTGAACTGGGCCTGAATGCTGAAGATTCCTGGGACCAATTTCATAGGGGCATGGGGGACAGAGAATTCTTGAGTTCCTTCACTTTCTCCCTTTCATTATAAGGACCAGTCCTGTCTATACTGACAAGAAGAGCCCAAGAGGGTAGAGAGATCAGCTTCCAGGATCATACCTTGGCAGTTGACTCCACCAGCAGCATTTGAGAAGCCAAGAGCGCAAATGCAGAAGTAGGATCCATGGCTGTTCAGGCACTCCCCATTGGGGCTGCAGATGCCATTATCCAGGCACTCATTCTGATCTATAGGAGGGCAAAGAAAATTAAAGTCAGCTTGCTCAGACCAGGTGCTAGTCATTATTCTTATCTGATGTTTATATATGTAAGCCCCTAAACATAGCTTTTAAAAATGGCAAACCATCCTCCCACCCAGCAGCAAGCCTCTCTGTAACCTGAATGTCATCACAGAGTGGAGTTGGAAGGGGCCTAATACGGCCATTGAATCCAATCCTCTGCTCATTGCAGGATTCCAAGTTAGTTGCTGCCACATTATTGTATCTAGAAGGGACATCATTTTTAAAATAAATATTCATAAATAAAATAGATTGAAAAATCAAACTAGGGCATATTTACATTGATTATGGAAATGCCCTTTCAAGAATCTCTTACTCTAGAGACACAAACCTTAGGCTAGCTAGTTGTCTGTCTGTCTGAAATAGAACGTGAGATCCACCAGGCATGAAATACTAACTGTGGGAAAGGGGTGAAGCCCATTCACTAGGAACTGGGTCCCTCAGAGCACATGCCAAGCCCAGGCATTTGTTTCCAGGTGCTTCTGGATGAGGCTTTGATCATGTAACTGTCCTGCCTCATTCACAGCATGTCATTATTCTGTGTGGTCCAGACAATGTCATCTCCCACTTCCCCATGTTTTTCAGATTCTTCCATCCTTGTTTCATCCACACAAAAATGAAGGAAGAATACATAGAATAGTTGAACAATGGCTGGGTTCACACAACACATTAACCCCTAGAGAACTTCAACCACTGTAGTTAACCCTCTAGGGTACTTAAACCATGCACAGAGTGGGGGTTCTGTGCTGCAGCCTCCTTCCTCCTCTTTCCCCTTCCCCCCAGGAGGCACCAAGATGTTCCTTGATCTGCTGCAAGACATCTAGCACTGGGTGTGGCTTGACTTTTAAAAAGTGCTTCTATGTCATCCAAGCTTGGGAAAGTGAGGGTAGCCCATGGTCAAATGAATACCCCTCCCCCCAATAAAAAAAAAAACCTCTTCTGCAGCAAAGGTACTTTCCATGCATCCACTTTTTAACAAAAACTGCAAAAAATGCTAGCAGTACAAAGTTGCATTGGCATGGACTCAGAACATTCTAAAGACAAACTGCCACAGTGTTTGGGAAAAGGGAAGAAAGGAAAGAGGAAGAAAGCAAGGAAAAGGGAAGGTACACTGAATTCAAACATTTCTTAATTGTCAGAGACCTGTAACAATAACTGTTGAAATGTTTCATAAAGAGTGGGTGATGGGATAGGATTGGATCATATGAACATTTAAGGTCATCTCCATCTGAGCAAGCAGAGATGAACCTATTCCCCAACCAATTCATATAAGGAACTGGGACAGTTCAGGGCCTCATGCTTAAAAAATTATATCAGTAGAGACTAAAACATATTTTGACAAATATTCAATAGGCTTGCCCAAATGCTTCATTGCCAACATGAAAAATGCAAGAACCTCTAAGAATGGAAAGGCCTTGCTGCATGCATGCCGGCATGAGGCAACACACAGACACAAGCCAGGATCCCCTCTCTCCTTTCACTCAAGCATGCCTGGCCATTTCTTCTTTGGCACTGTTGAGGTTGGCCACTGCCTCACTACCTTTACCTGGTTGAGGTTGGTATGGACACTGGCGTGGCATGGACAAGAATGGGAACCCCTGAAAGGTACCATGATTTCTCTTTTCCTCTTGTATGAATTGTGAAAATGTGGCTAAATGACAGACTGGGCAGATGCATCCCAAAAATGTTTCTCATACCTTCACACATGGTCCCATTAAAGAGCTCAAATCCAGGTCTGCAGTGGCACAAGTAGGAGCCTGGTGTGTTTAAACATTCACCTCCCAGGCAGTGAGTGTTTGGATCTTCACATTCATTAACATCTGTCCAAGGAAAGGAAGTGATGATTAATGACAGAGAGCAATTTGAACCTGTTATGGGAACCTGCAACACCTAAATATGGAGGATAAAAGCACAGCCAATAGAAAAATTAGTCCCATGAAGAGAAGTTATGCAAGCCTGGGCTTTTATTTATTATTTATTTAATAGGAAAGAAAGGTAATTTACACAGAGCACACCTGTGTTTGCAGAAGTATTTTATATTATCTAAGTCTCAGCCCACATTTTAAATACACCCTTAAGACTATAACAGAGCACCTTTCCTTTCTGGCAGCTGTAGACTGCACACAGTTGTCTTTGACCTACATTCTGTGAGCTTTGCCCTTCTCATTTTAAAAAACACTCAGCAAGGATAGAAGTTTCTGTTCCCCCTTATACAAACACACAGAAGGCTATTCACAGTTGTTTTATTTGCTTGTACTATCACAGCATTCTTATGGCTCAAATACAAAAACACAGACAAGGCCATCACTCCCAAAGGAGAGGAACATGACATTCTCCTCTTGGTCAGTCCAGTCCCTGATGAAATTTGTGCCTGCTAACCTTCCCCTGTATATTTCTTATCCAGCTGTCCCAACATCAATAATAGGGGGAAGGGAAAGTCAATTGAAACAGGCAATCATAATATTAGTCTGTCAATGGAACAGAATATAGATTTCTTGGATTTCCTCCTAGCTCTATCAATCAAAAGACATTGAGCAGATATTCTGCCTTTCCATAGTGGAAAGGGAATAAATGGATGAAACAGTAGGAAAACATGGGAAGGATATGAGTGGAAGATGATGTCTGGACCCTCAGTAAAATTCCTGAGGCAGATTAAAAGCCTCATCTGGAAGCTCCCCAACTACTGAAAATGATGGGCCGAGTAATCCCATAACTCCTAGACAGCTTCTAGAGTGTCAAAGGATTTTTCAGAGTTCTTGCCCCATCACTGGACCTGTGATTCCACTCTCAGAATGCCTTGCCTTCACAACTAGCATGGAAAGAACCAGACCAGTTGTTTTTCCAAGGTCGCAAAAGTACTATCAGAGAAGGGGTTTAATAGGTGGTCCTAGGGGCAGGCAGGGGACTAGAATGGCACCACCAAGGCACAAGGTACCCTGGCAGTACCTCAACTGCCTTTCTGCCTGCTCCAAAGCACCACAGTTAGATAGCTGAAGTCGGCCATCTTGTGCTTTGCAGGGTGGGAAGAGCATGGCACCTGCATGTACCTCCTACCCTGCACAGGATGCTCATAATCCTCCAAGTTTGGAGGGTTACAGCCATTCCCATTGTATTGCACACTTGCTTATTTGTTATTTGTTTAAATGAAGGAGAGACAGACTTGGCTTGCTGCTGACTGTACACACTCAGATCACTTCTCTGTAATGAAAGTTCCTGTGTGGTACATTTTTGTTGCATTAACACACTATATTTTTAGGTATACATTTAAAACATTGTAGATGTAGATCTAAAACATTTCTTGTGTGAAGTGGCCTTTAAGAAATATCATACCAGCAGGCTGCCTATCAATGAGTACTATTTCTCAATTATGTCTGAATTTAGTAGTCATGCCAAAGATCTCCTCGACCTGGAGCTTTCTTTGGAAGCTCAGGTGACAGCGGTGGCGAGGAGCGCCTTCCTTCAGCTTCGGCTGATTAATCAGCTGCGCCCCTACCTGGAGTTCGACTGCCTGGCGACGGTGACACACGCACTGGTGACTTCCCGCCTAGACTTCTGTAACGCGCTTTACGTGGGGCTTCCCCTGAAGACAGTCCGAACACTTCAATTGGTGCAAAATAGAGCTGCCAGGTTGCTGACGGGGACGGGGCGTTATGCTCACATGACTCCAGTCCTCCGTCAGCTTCACTGGCTGCCCATTGAAGCCTGGGCCCAATTCAAGGTGTTGATTATGACCTATAAAGCCCTAAACGGCTTGGGTCCGGGCTACCTGAACGAGCGCTTACGTCCGTATATGCCCGACCGCCCTTTGAGATTTGTGGGAGAGTCCCTTCTCCAGGAACCCTCCATGAAAGAAATTAGGAGAGTAAGTACTCGGAGGAGAGCTTTCTCTGTGGTGGCGCCCAACCTATGGAATTCACTCCCCAAAGAGGTCCGCCTGGCACCGTCGTTACTGGTTTTTCGGCGCCAGGTAAAGACCTTTTTATTTAAACATCATTTTAATTGTTAAAATATATGATCTGGCCAGGGCAACTTCTTCTTCCTTCTCTTTTCTCCTCCTATATTATTTATTTACTTATTTTATACTGATAATTTTAATTTTATATTATTATGTTTGTAACTCAATGTATTTTTTGTATTTTTGTATTTAATGGTAATTTATTATGTGCTATTGTATTTCAATGTATTTTATTGTGTTGTAAGCTGCCCTGAGGCTTCGGCAAGGGGCGGCATAGAAATGTTATTATAATAATAATAATAATAATAATAATAATAATAATAATAATAATAAAAATGTATCCTGTATAGAAAATAAAGCCTGCCGTATAATTCAGTGCAGAAGCATACAGAACACCTATCACTGACTCTCTATTTGATGCTCTCTTCAGTCACAACTTCTTTTCTAAACAAATCTTAACATCCTGCTCTCTAAAGTTCATACCTTTCCTCGTTGTAGGTTTCCACAGAAGGAATGCTAAAAACAGGCACCAGGAGAACTTTACCCTGGAAATCTTGTGTCTTCAAGTGGGCAGCTTGCACAGGACTATGCTAGCCAGACTGGATTTCCTATTTTATATATCATTTGCCACTGAATTGCTACTTTAAACTGCTTAATGCTTTGTATTCTGAATCTGAGAACCCTTTTCCCATGCTGTACTTTTTCCTGAATTCCTAATACATCTTATACCTGTTTTCACCAAACCTGGACTGTGGGGGTGAAAGGAGAAAGGCTCACAGAGGTTAACAACACATCACTGATCATGCTAATTCTAATTTAACAACCAGGTTTCATGCAACATTCTGAGCAAAACCCATAAACAAGCTGTGCCCCCTAAGGACACAGAAAGGTTGCAAAGACGTCCAACTCAGAAGAGCCCAGTTGTTCCCAAGGGACTGAGAGTGTTTAGGGACAGAGGAGACTGGCTTTGTTTTCCTCTCAGTGGTGGCAGCCAATGTACGAGAATTTTTAAACTGTACACCTAAAAATATGAGTGAAATGACCTTTAGTAAAATTACTAATACAGCATTATTCTCATCATTTGACCCTCGGTTATACAAGTTCACTGAATGAACACACTCACCAATGTCTCCAAAAAGCAATGCAATAATTTAAATAAGAATCTTGTTTATCCAAACTTCTGACTATACAAATATTTTTGATGACCTCAAACCATGTGGGAAAAAAATACCATAATATGAACACTTGTCTTGATTTTATTGAAGCAATGTCCTACTGATTAAGTAAGAATCATCAATGTGCTTTACTTATTTACATAGTGTCCAGGTTTGTACTTGTTGCTTTTCACATGTGCAAGACTGATGTCAGATTGTATAGCTCCAAAACTAGGGAAACCATAACAAGACTGAAAAGCATAGGCAGAAAATAATATAGATGGTCTTGATGCTTATATTGTACTGGTCCATCTTTGCCTGAATATCACTCATTTTAACTCTTTCAGAAAAAAAATAACTGTCACTTGTTTTAGGCTGCATTCCCATATACCAAGTTGCCACCTCAAAAACTTAGCCTAATTTTTAAAACTTTCTGTAAGATCAGCTCAGAACTCTGGCAAAAATGATCTCTCCCTTCCCTAGCAGCTTAATGGGTAGAAGAGAAGAAAGGAAACAGGTGACCCACCCAGTTTTGTCTCTGGCTCATTCTTTATATGCAGCACCCATCAGATGTCCAGCAAAGAAATACAGCCTCAATAGAAACAGTTTGCCTATACAGAGTTACTGTGCTGTAAGTCCCACTGCACTCAGAAGGGCTTACAGAATTATTTTTGAGCAAACATGTAAAGCAGTGTTAGTAGTACTATTGCTGCTCATGAAGATTTTTTTAATGTTCTAATTTTCCATACCATCTTTCCAAAATGAATTGTTCAAGGCAGTTGACAACAATAAAAGCACTTAATATTTGTTAATTTTCTTAATTCTTCTTAAGAAAATAAATTGATTTCAACTGGCCTATTTACCAGCTTAAAGTTTAGCTGCATTTACAAACACTTTGTTGAGTTGGTTCTCTGGGCTCTGCTTTCTCAATGTTCTCTAATTGTTTTACCCTATTTTGGCTTTGTTAATGCTTTGTCTATTTTTATTATATATTGGTATATTTATTTCCCTTATCTTGCAGCCTAATTATTCTCTTTTGGTTGTTTTGACACTGAAAATCCAATATCTCTCTCCTCCTCAGTCCTTCAGTTCATGGGCTTGAAAGTCTAAGCAGGTTTGTCTCACTTAATCGCTCTGAATAATTATGCACTCATTTCTTTCACTCCCCTGATCCATTTCTTTTTCTCTTCTGAATTGCCCTAATTTGAGTTAATGTAATTTAGCTGCAAAGTTGCAACCAATTCATTAATGAACATATTAATCTCTGCCAGATATTCCCAACCCAGATATCCCCAAACACTACAGATTGGGTAGGTTGCCAGTTGCTAGAGATGGAAAAAAAGGAGGATCAATGTGCTGTAAGACACTAACCCAGGTGATGAATTGTTCTGGGGAAGGGAAGAATCAATCCAGGTCATAATCTCCGCTTGTCCAGCTATTATAGTGCACACAGTTCTCATTCATGACTAAGCGTTGCAGTCATTCACCAGACAGAAAGAAGTCCACCATCTTTACCTTCGCAAGTGAGTCTACTGGATGAGAGCACATAGCCAGGGTCACAGGCTTGGCAGGTGAATGATCCCTGTGTATTAGTGCAAACTCCCTGGGGGCAGGCTGTGTGTGAGATGCATTCATCAATATCTAGAGAAAGAAGAGACCATTACTGACATGGGATAATGAATAAGATGGAGGAAAAGCTCAGGAAGTTCCTCCCAGTCATCACATATTGTCTTGTCAGCATGCTCTCTGAAGCCTGTCCAAAGGAGGCAATTCTGTCATAACTCTCTTTAATGCTCATTTCAGCATCTTCTGCATTATAAGATGTAGAAGCTGCCCCCTTAGAATTCACAGGGGTTATTTACCAAAGTAATTCCAAGCCTTAGGGCTTTTCTACATGAAGTTTTTTAATCTACACTTTTCTGGATTCTTTGTAGGATTAAATCCCCCCACTTTTTTCCCCTGGGAGGAGTGTCTTTCTTTTCCTTTCCATAAGTTCAGTTACAAAACTACTAGGCACACTGTGGGATAATAGCATTGCACAAATACACAAGAGTTTCAAGCTACCATTGATAGATATACTAGACTTTCCTTTTTAAGGGAAACATAGTACAAACTAAGTACAATTGTACTGTTCCAAACTTGTACTGTTTGCAGTACTGTTGTACAATTGCACTGTTGCAAAGCTGTACTGTTTCTTGGGGGATGACAACACGATGTAAAGCACCTGCAAACCACCATGCATGAAGAATCATGAGCGCACAAATGCTGCATGTAGAAAGGGACTCTTGAACCTGTACCCTGTGATTTTGAACTGTAGCTGTTGGTTGTTCTGTTCACTCTAAAACCTGAAAGGGTGAAATAGGACTCCTACGTGAGTGGAGTCTAAAATGGCAGCCTAATGGGCAGACTTTGTTGTCTGAGGGCCCTTTCCAGCAAGGAAGAGATTTATCTTGGAGCCAACCTGGAAGAATAGCCACTTACTGAGAATGGAGAAAGGCAGCAGGAATGGGCAAATAAGTAAGTATCACCTTGCTTAGATTAGACCAAAATACATCTAGCAGGTCAGGATTCTAATGGCAGACAGATGTTTCTAAGTTATGGTTGAGGCATTCTGGGATTGTACTCCACCCATCTGAAAGGGACCAGTATGGAAACATTGGGTTAGATTGTCCTCCAGGCATGTATGAAGATGATGAAATAACTTCTCAGTTATTTCTCCCTAACAAAGGGTATTCTCAGATATACTATTTGCAGCAAAAGAACCCATTTTTATCGGTGATAAAAGCAGGTTGCTTACCTGTAACTGATGTTCTTCGAGTGGCCATCTGTGCAGTCACACATATGGGTACTGCGCCTGCGCAGTGCCTGTGGTCGGAAGATTGATAGCTAATGGTTTTTGGCGGGAAGCTCCACTCCCCTCCCCCCTGTGGCCTATAAAGAGCGGAGCATCCGCCATTTTGTTCAGTCTTTGCGACCGAACGTACGGTATCTTAATAATTTTAAATCTTTTTTTTTTGTCAGGACCGTAAAAAAAGGGGGATGGTCGGTACCGAAGATGCCTTTCTCATCGACACTGAGCTGTCGATGCGTCCATTCACTGACACCGAGCGGGGCCGGCAGGTGGGTTGTGTGACTGCACAGATGGCTACTCGAAGAACATCAGTTACAGGTAAGCAACTTGCTTTTCTTCGTCGTGGCCTCTGTGCATCACATATATGGGTAGATTAACAAGCTTACCATCAAGGAGGAGGGAAGGTGTCCTGAGTGAAGAACAGAGGAGAGTACAGCTCTACCGAAGGAGCAGTCCCGTCGAGCTCGAACATCGAGACGGTAGTGCCTGGTGAAGGTGCAAGGGTTCGCCCAAGTAGCGGCTTGGCAGACGTCATCAATTGGGACCCCCGCTGAGAACACAGATGAGGTTGCAACGGCTCTAGTAGAATGGCCGCGGGGAACTGAAGGCAGTTCGAGCTTAGCTAACTGATAGCACAAGACAATAGTGTGGACTATCCACTTAGAAAGTCTTTGTGGAGTGACTGGATCGCCCTGATCCCTAGTAGAATATTTGATGAATAGCTTATTGGATCGTCGAATAGACTCTGTCCGCGATTGGTAGAAGGCTAAGCAACGGCGAACATCAAGTGAGTGCAACAATCTTTCCAAAGGGGTCGACAGTGACGGGAAAAAAGCAGGCAGCACAATGTCTTGTCCTGTATGGAAAGGTGTAGACACTTTGGGTAAAAAAGACAGGTCGAGGCGTAAAATGACCTTCTCTGTGAAAGTTTAGATAAGGAGGGTCTATTCAAAGAGCGCAAAGTTCACTGGCCCTCCAGGCTGAAGTGACAGCTACAAGAAACACCGTCTTCCAAGAAACCAATTGCAGATCCACCGTCACTAAAGGTTCAAAGGGGGCCTTCATAAGGGCCTGCAGAACTACAGAAAGGCTCCATGTGGGCATAACCGGTCTAATTGATGGGTTAAGATTATATAGTCCCCTCAAGAATCTCTTGAGGATAGGATGAGAAAACAGAGGTGATCCGTCGACTAATCCACGGTGGTAGGCTATCGCAGCTGTATAAACTTTAATGGACAATGGCTTCAATCCGGAATGGTGCAATTCCAGAAGGAACCGAAGAATTTGTTCAATAGATGAGAGGAATGGGGAGAACGAACGCGACTCAGCAAAGGTGGAAAAACGTTTCCATTCAGCCTTATATGACTTCCTTGTGGACGGCTTTAAGGCAAAGTCGATGATATGCTGAATATCAGGGTGCAAAAATGTCGGATTCGAATTCGACGGGTCTTGTCTCAAACCAGATGGTGCAGGGAGATCAGAGAAAGGGGAAGCACCCGAGTGATTGGATTCGACAATTGGATCCGAGGTGGTCGAAGTCATCGTCGGTACCGATAGAGTAATAGAAGCTGTCGGATTCATAACTCTCGAAACCGTCGTCGGTATCGATGGAACATCAATCATCGAATTCGCCACGCTGTTAGGTTCAATGAGAGCAAGCCCGGGTGGCGAAGTGTGCCGTCCACCTGTGTTAAAAGATATGGGAGCAATGGAAGATGAAGAAATTCCCCGCGAGAGATGTCGAGTAGTTTCGCAAACCACGCTTGACGTGGCCACCAAGGGGCAACTAGTATCCCCGATGCCCGGTCGTGCACAATCTTTGCTATGACCTTCATCAGAAGAGGGATCGGAGGGAAGGCATAGAAATGCATGTTGTTCCAAGGGATCATGAATGCGTCCCCTAGGGACGCATGTCCGATTCCTGCTCTCGAGCAGTAAGCCTCGCACACCCTGTTCTGTTGGGTAGTGAATAAGTCCACATCGGGGAACCCCCAGCGCCTGAAAAGGTGGTTGTGTGTACGAAGGTCCAGTTTCCACTCGTGAGAGGTGAACATGTGCCTGCTGAGAAGGTCCACGTGCACGTTGCCTATGCCAACCACATGAACAGCCATCAGCGCGATGTGTCTCTGAATGCACCAGTCCCAAATTTCCATCAAGAGTCTGGCTAGAGTTGGTGACTTCGTCCCTCCTTGTTTGTTCAGATAAAAAACGGTCGCTATATTGTCCGAGGTTATCTGAACGATCTGATGATGAAGGAGGTCCTCGAAAGAACGGAGGGCCTTGAAGACTGCCAGTAGCTCCAGGAAGTTGATATGATTCGTGGATTCTAGACGATTCCACGTACCCTGGGTAGATAAGGCCAGAGCATATCGCTCCCCATCCTAGGAGAGATGCGTCAGTGCTGAGGGTTATCGTAGGAGATCACTCCCTAAAGGGGACTCCTAGCGTAAGATTGGTCGGCTTCAGCCACCAGTGCAGAGAGTGGAGCACGGAAGATGGGATCCGGATCAGTTTGGACTGTGGCTCTCTTTGAGGGTGATACACCCTGTTGAAAAATAGTTGTAGTGGGCAAAGCCGAAGTCTGGCATGTGGAACCACGGCAACTGAAGACGCCATATGTCCCAGGACCCTCTGGATAGACCTCGCCGTGACTGTTCCCTCTCGTCGGATTCAATGGATAAGGCGAGCAAGAGTCTGTTGTCTGTCTTGCGGGAGGAAAGCTTTCTCTAATGTTGAATCCAAGTGGGCTCCGATGAAGGTGAGCGTCTGTGTCGGGAGAAGAGAAGATTTCTCTGTTTTAGTACGTAAGCCTAGGTCATCTAGTAAGGCACAGGTCTTATGGATGGCTGCCAAGAGTCCTTCTCTGGACTGTGAGACCAACAGCCAGTCATCGAGGTACGGATAAATTTGTATGCCCTGAAGGCGTAGGAAGGCACAGACAGGAGCCATGCACTTGGTAAAAACTCTCGGAGCCATAGCCAGTCCAAAAGGTAAAACTGTGAACTCATAAAGTTGGCTTGCAATCGCAAAATGAAGGAAACACCTGTAATTTGGGTGAACTGAAATGTGGAAGTAGGCGTCCTTCAGGTCCAATGAGGCGAACCAATCCTCTCTCCTTAACAACGGCAAAATGTTTTGAAGGGTAGTCATACAAAACTTTCTCGGTACAATAAACGTATTTAAGTTCTGTAGATCCAAAATCGGACATAGACCACCATCCTGCTTAGGGACCGTGAAGTTTCTGGAATAGAATCCGTGAAGTCCGTCAGATGGAAATACTTGACAAATCGCTCCTTTACGGAGAAGTTGACGTATTTTGTCGAGGAGTACCGGTGAGCATACAGTAGACCGGATTGGACTCGATGGAGGAACGATGTTGAATTCTATTCGACAGCCGTGTTGAACAATGGATAATACCCACCGGTCAGATGTGATGGACCCCCAAATGGGGAGTCGGCTTCGAAGCCGATCCCCAAATAAGAGGGGGATGGGTATTGAAGGAGTGTGAGGAATGGTTCGCCAGTCCCGTCAGCGTTGCCTCCGATCGTCAAAACGACAGCGGCCCTGCTGAAAATGCTGTTGGGGCTGAAGGACGGCGGCGCTGCTGTTGTTGTTGCTGGCGGTGTTGAGGCTGCTGTCTCGGTTGGTAGGATTGCCTGTAGGATGGACGATTCCAGGACCACTTACGTCTAGTGTGAGACTGGATCTCCATCCTGCGTGCTGTCATCCTCGATTCATGGAGCTTCTTGAGCTTATGGTCGGTTCGAGAATGGAAAAGCCCGGATCCATCGAAAGGCATTTCCTCTATCTGCCGCTTGGTTTCTTCCGGGAAATTACAATTCCGGAGCCATGCATGCCTCCGAAGGGAAACGGCACCGACCAAGGCCCGGGAGTCAGTATCCACGTGGTGCCTTGCCGTGGATAACTGCTGCACCGCAACCTGCATGGCTTCCTTGATCAGGACCTTCGCGAGATCACTCTGGTGGTCTGGGAGGGTGGAGGCAACGTTGTGGAGGCACTGCATAATAAAATATTGATATCTCGCCAACGTCGCCTCATAATTTGATATGAGAAGTCCCAAGCCCGAAGCAGCATAGACTCGCCTGGCCAGGGAGTCTATTTTTCGGCCCTCTTTATCTCTCGGTGCCGTGTGTCCTCTCGCCTCTCTGCCCTGTGAGGATTTGACGACCGCAGAGTTCGGTTTCAGGTGTTTGAGGAGGAAGGGAATATCCTCTTCCCGAACCCTGTACATCGACTCATACCTTCTGGACGTCGGTGAGGATGTGATGGCAGGTCCCAGGGCTGCGTCATCGCCTGCCGCAAGGTGGTTATGAGCGGCAGAATGATAGATGTTGATTGCTCCCCGCGGATGATGTCGTAAAACTTGTTCTTCGACGGTCCCGGGTGCTGGGCAGCGTCGATGTCCAGGGACTGGACAAGTCTCGACATCAGCTCCATGAAGGAGACGTGGGACTCGTTGGGTGACGCAGGACCCTGGGATGTCACAGCGACGTCCGGGGAGGTTGAGTCGACCTCCAAGTCAACCGAATCGGCACCGTGGTAGGGTGGAGCCAAAGATGACGACTCTGCCGGTGAGAAGGAGCGGCTGCTTCCACTTTGTGGGGATCGAGGTGGCACCCGCCTCGAATCCACTGATCGCAGTTGGTCACAGGGTGGAGGAGATGATCATGCCCTGGGAGCAGGGTAGTACCCTACAGAGAGCGGATTGCCCCAAGTATGGTAGTAAAAGCAACGCCAACTCTCCGGGCGTTGCTCTACCGAGCGGCTCCTCCGGCTCCCTGGTGGGGACAGGCCAACGTCTGTTTCCATCGTCACCACGGGCATGGGTGTCAGTGACCTCACCCTAGGAGGGGAGTCTTGGATTTCCCCATCGGAAATTGAACCCCGTAGAGTTGGAAGGGGTGCAGGTGGGAGGTCAACCGAACGGCGTGGAGACCCTTGAGGGGTAACCCGCATAGCCTCCTGGAGGACCGGTTAGGGAGGGGTCGGTATCATAACCGCCACCGGTGCCGAGGGTCCCATCGGTTCCGAATTCCGATTTCGGGGATGGTCCAGATGGTCCAAAGTCTTAGACTTTTTTGGAGGCTTGGAGACCTTCTCCTTTCTGGCCTTCTTATGGCCTGCCAACTTCTCTTCGGCGTGCTTCCGCTTTTCATGCTTCTTTTTAGGTGAAGCAGAGGGGGCCACCGAAGCAGATGCACCTTCGTCCAAAGGCCGTGAGGGTGGGGCCACAGAAGCAGAGCCAGGTTTTGGGACGGTGACGAGCGGGTCTGACTGCATGAGAGCCCGATCCCAAAGGAGCCTCCGAAGCCAGTTTTCACAGTTCTTCCTGGCCTGCTTGGAGAAGGCCAGGCAATGTGCGCATTTATCTGTCCTATGCCCCTCTCCCAGGCAGAGGAGGCATAGGTCATGCGGGTCAGTTGGTGCCATTTTTGACCTGCAATCCGCGCATTTGCGGAAAGCCACTCGCTGCACCATCACAGAAGAAGAGGAAGAAAAGAGAGATAGTGAAGAGGGTAAGTATATATATATATATATATATATTTTTTTTTTTGATAGATCGAAAGAAGAAATAAAGAGAGAAAGCTACACAGAATAATAAGCTGGGAACAAGGAGAGGAAAAAACTAGGATAAGGGACAATTCGAGAACGAGGTAATAGTCGAAGCGAAAGTCGAAAGCGGCACGAGGCATAGTGAACAGCGGTCGCAAAGACTGAACAAAATGGCAGACGCTCCGCTCTTTATAGGCCACAGGGGGGAGGGGAGCGGAGCTTCCCGCCAAAAACCATTAGCTATCAATCTTCCAGCCACAGGCACTGCGCAGGCGCAGTACCCATATGTGTGATGCACAGAGGCCACGACGAAGAAGAGCTGGCAATAATTATCAGCTAAGGAAATCAGAGTTCAAGTTTTGGATTTCCCCACAGCTTATGAAATGCTCAAGTTATTCCGTCTATATAGCTATTGTAAGGTCTTAGCTTTATGGGTTGGGCCAGTGTTCCATTGGTTATCTATGAGGAAGTTTCCCTGTTCATCACACCTGACCACAGGTTATACCTTCACACATTCTTCCATCCCTTGATGCAATGTACCCAGTGCCACATGCCACACAAGAGAAGGAGCCCTCAGTGTTGATGCAGCGTCCCCTCAGGCAGGCATTATGGGTTGCACATTCATCCACATCTGTAACATACAAATAACAAAGACAAGGAAGAGTTTTGCTCTATGGCCAGAGAACACTTCAGCTCACAGATAAAGAATAACAGAAGATAAATAATAGAATTATAGAACAGTAAAGTTGGAAGGGGCCAGAGGGCCATCCACAGTTGGTTACAGAATCAGACTCAAAGAGTGCTCATCAATGGCACCTTTTCAAACACAGGAGAGGTAACAAGTGGGGTAGTGCAGGGTTTGGTCCTGGGCCCAGTGCTCTTTTACATTTTTGGATGAGGAAGTGCAGGGAACAATTATAAAATATGCAGATGACACAAAACTGGGCAGAATAGCTAATACCCTGGAAGACAGAAAGAAGATTCAAGGTGATCTTGATAGGTTGGAGCGCTGGGCTAAAAACAACAGAATGAATTTCAGTGGGGACAAATGCCAAGTTCTGCATTTAGGAAAAAAGAAACCAAATGCATTGCTACAATATGGGAGATTCTTGGCTCAAAAATACTGCAAGTGAGAAGGATTTTGGAATTGTTGTAGATCACTAGCTGAATATAAATGAACAATGTGATGTGGCTGCAAAAAGGGTAAATTCTGGTTTGGGCTGCATTAGTAAGTATAACTTCCAAATCCCATAAAGTACTAGCTCCTCTTTATTCAGCACTGGTTAGGCCTCATCTGGAGTACTGTGTCCAGTTCCAGGTACCACAGTTTAAGAAAGATATAAACAAGTTGGACAAGGTTCAGAGAAGGGCAACAAGGATAATCTGGGGACTGGAAGCAATGCCCTATGAAGAGACATTGAAAGGCATGTTCAGCCTTGAGAAGACAAGACTGACGGGAGATAGGATAACACTTTTAAAGTACTTCAAAGGTTGTCACAAAGGGAAAGGAGAGACTCTCTTCTCAATCATCCCAAAGTGCAGGACATGGAATAATGGGCTCAAGTTACAGGAAGCCATGTTCTGGCTGAACATCAGGAAGAACTTCCTGACTGTTAGAGCAGTACAACAATAGAACCAATTACCTAGGGAGCTTGTGGACTCCTCTACACTAGAGACAGTCAAGATGCAACTGGTCAGCCATCTTAGAGAAATGGTTTAACCTGGAGTCCTGCACTGAGCAGGGAGTTGGGCTGGATGGCCCTCTGGGTCCTTCCAACTCTATGATTCTGTACCACTCTCTTGCCTCAGTATGTTGCTTGAGCAAGCAAAGGAGTAATGTTCTGATTCAGAAACAGTAATGTTCATCTGTTTAACAGGAGTGTTGTAAAGATTACAACAAGATAATATGCGTGAAGCACTTTAAATAAACTAAATTGATTATTTCAATGAAAATTTTCAAATAATTTTTAAAACTCGAAACAAGGTGTCTCCAGTTCTTGAGAAAGAGGTTAACAGTTTGACTATTTAAATCATCATTTTTAAAGAAATACAAGATAGTGTTCTTTGAATCTGTCTACCACATAGTCATGCCATTTATACCAGATTATGTCAAGCATAGTTGCAAAGGGACAACAGAATGTACTTCCCTTCTTTCCCAGAAGGGGGCAGCCTCCAACCACTGCATATATGCTGTAGCTTATTTGCTTTCTACTTGCAGCCAGGGGAGCTGAAAGCTAAATTTTAATAAGTGTACAACAGAATCTTCATAAAAAGGCATCTTCTCTATTGAGGATACAAATGTGTTATGCTATTAGGGGAAAAAGGTCAAACTGAATATACAAGGAGAGTATTTGCATGTAAAAATATATAAGCACTTTTGTAGGTGCTTGGCATAAATGACCCAAGTTAGCATGACATGGCAGCTCCTAAAAAAAGGAGGAGACATTTGCACACCTACCTTTACACATTCCTGTTTGATCCATGAGGTAGCCCACTTTGCACTCACAGTGATAGGAACCAAGTGTGTTGACACATTGCCCTCCATGGCACACAGTTGGCTGGTCACACTCATTTACATCTGTTAATAGAGAGGAACATGTCCTTTCAGCAGAAGGTTTGAATGCATGCATATATTATGGCTGCCCTTCTATCTTTTTGTTTCCATCTTTGCTACTGATTTTCACCCTCTGACTCTAAGCAAAACGCAGGACAAGCAACTTAAAGTGATCTAATGTAATAATGGAACAATAAAGGAACATGCTGCATTTTCTAGAGCACTTTGTTGTGTTTCTTTCCTCAAATATGTGCACTGATGTAAGGGGAGGGAAGGGTTGTCAGAGGAAATTATTCAGCTGTTGTTTCTAGGTAAGGCAGAGAAAGATCCAAGGTACAGGAAAGATAACACATTCTTCTCTCTCACTGGAAAGATATAGTTATGGTGGTGAAAAACTCTGTTAGGCAACTTTTATGGGTGAGCAATGGAAGCCAGTGGTGCTGCATCAGCAAGACTTACCCTGACAAGTTTGTGCATTTTGTGAGGTGAAGAGAGTATACCCAGGGAAACAGAGGCAGGAATAAGAGCCCTCACTGTTGACACAGTGGCCTTTCCCATCACATGGATTTCTTTCACATTCATCAACATCTAAAGCAAAAGGAGACAGTCAAGATCAATCAGCAATACCCTACATCTTGTTTTCTCTATCTATAGGCCTCCCCGATACCGTAAAACTACAGAATTAATCTGAGTATCAGTCATTAAGATCTGTCAGAAGTATTCTGGTGTCAGAATAGGTTTTCCACTTCCCAGCCTCTATCTGATGGCATCTCCCCACACACCCATTTCTCCCAGCAAACCAAAGAAACCAATGAAATACCAGTGCAATAGGTGTGACTGGGATGCTGCCTGTAGCCAGGGTAGCAGAAGCAAGCATATCCTCCTGGCAAGTTTACGCAGGTGCCTGGACCACAGACGTTGGGTGATGAAGAGCATGCCATGGTCTCTGAGAATAAAGGAAGATATTTTGAGGAGACAGGCACAATGTGCTTATAGTTACACCATCCTAAAACGCATTAATCTGGATCCTGGGGAGGCAAAGGACTGTTGGTCTGATCAGCAGGTCTCTCACAGAATCTATTACCACAATATGTGGTGATGGCCACTGGCTAAAATGTTACAAGAGCTCAGTGCTGCCTACATGTGCAGATTGGCTTTACAGAACCACGGGCTTGCCTTTTTGGTGTACATAATCTACTAACTGATTCCTCCTCAACTCACTTCCACTCTGGATTGTGCCAATTCATTGCTAAACTCATTGAGACAGTTTGAGTCACACCAACAGAAAAACACAAGCTCAAGGACACCCACACCTCGCAGCAGTCTTAGACAATCCCATCATCGTCTAACCAGCTCACAAACATGCCAGCACAGACAAAAGGCCATTGAGACAGTCTTTGCCAAGAGATTTTTCCAAAAAGGTTTTAGCCCAGAGTACAAAGATGCAAGCAACTCTCCCAGGCATTTAGGCAATCCTGAAAAAACACAGCTGCCATTATCTAAGCAGTAAACATGTTACCCTGAGGTCATACCCTGAGGAATGGAACTTCCCATTCCACCAGAAAATCCCCAGGACACAACTCTGTGACACATACCAAATCACAAGAGATGCTGGAAAATTTTCCTGTCCTGCCTAAATCTTCTAATTTTGCCATTCTATTATCAAGTACTATCTTCTAACCTAAGAATGTAAGAAATAAACATCTTTTTCATAAAAGTTCTTGTAATTTCCTTTCTATGTTTGCCAGAAAAAGTTTGTTTCTTATCATATGCTTTGGAGGCATGTTTCCTGAAGATTAAAAAGTGCATTATGGAAATGAATATCTGAAAAAAAAAATCACACTTCTTTGGGCCAATTAGGGATCCCAGAAGTTGCCTATGCCAATGAAAATTTGCAGTGCCTTGTAGCACTGAAAACACATTGTGAAGCCTGGCACAATAGCTCCTTCTAAACAGAAGCCAGGTAGTACGTGACCTTGAGGGTTAGCATGTTCATCAGGAAATTCCCTAGTTACAAATCTGTCTTGGCCATCAACTCAGTCTCTCAGTCTCAGCCTCCCAATCTACAATACGAGGATAATAATACAGAGTTAAACAAAAGCCATCGTAAAAGTGAGGCTGTCATATTTTGGGCACATCATGAGTAGGTAGGTAAGGCTCTTTGGGGAAGACAACCATGCCAGGGAAAGTTGAAAGCAGAAGGGGGGAAAAAAGGAAGACTGAGTATGAAATAGATCGATTTAATTAAAAGAAGCCACAGCCTTGAATTTATAAGAGCTGAGCAGGTCAAGGACAGGATGTTTTGGAGGACATTTATAAGTAGGAGGGTTGCCATAAGCGTTGGAAGCAACTTCACAGCACATAACACACATAACAACAGCAACAGCAGCAACACAGAGTTGTAGTATAGATACAGCTTTGCAGAGTTCCTGGAAGAGAGTTGTCCAATGGACAGTTTCTCCCATCTTAGTTTCTCCTACCTGCAGATCTCTCTAGCTCCCTCAGAGTTACCATTGGCCACTTGGTTGCTTTGCTGACTAATGCCCTCATTACAAGGTCAGTGAATTTACATGGATGTCTTTCTCTAGGCACAGTAACTTTTAAGCTCTATTCTTTCTATTTTGTAATAATGGACTTAATGGTGCTCTAGAGGATGTTCGGGTTGTTTTGTTTTAATAACACAGCCTTGATTGGTTTTTCTGTACAAGTTTATCCTGGAGTTGTTTTGATAACTCCCTGGTCTACATGATGCTTTTCAGCCTAGTCCTGAAAAGCAAGCAGTGCTGGAAAAAAGCCCACAAGCACTCATGGATCTCATGGTTATGCAGCTGGCAACCTTCCCTGTCAGCTCCAGCCACCCAACAGGCAGCTGCACTGTTAGCCGTTGCCTGGGGCACCATTCCTGGCAACCCCAGCAACCAACCTTCTTCCACACCAGGCGCAACTGCCAGTGGCTTCACCCAGTATGGAAGAGGGTGCTGCTAGTGGTCGCACTGGATTCCATTCCTTGGTCAGTGACCAGCCTTCCACATCTGGTGTAGCCACTGGTGGTTGTACTGGGCACAGGTGAGGGGTGCTACTTGCACTGTGTTTTATTGTATCTGTATTTTATTGCATCCATTTTAGTATTACTTTGAACATTGTTGTGAACTGCCCACAGAGTTTTGATTATTTGGCTGTATAGAAATAAAATTAAAAATACTACTACAATAATAACAATAATAATAGCCAACTTGAATTTTTACTGTCATAGAGCTAGAGTTATTATTGTGAAACTTTCTGCCTCAGGGGCCAGAATTGCTTGACCAGTCTTGGGTACGGTGTACCTTGGCTTGGGAGGAAGTGGCAATAATATTTACTGTTTCACCTCAAGCAACAAAATGTTTTTAGTCAGCCCTGTGGGGACTGGCTGCAAGCATACCTGGAAATGTTGTTGTCATTGCAGTTGGAGTAGTTTCTTCCCCTACAGCTCCTGGAAGTGGCTGGACAGGAGAATGAGGAGAAGTATCTTCTATATCCACTACAGATTAAAGAAGAGAAGTACACACCAACTATAACTGCTATCAGATAAACAACAGGAATCTAATGGGCTCAGGATTCCTACATTCTGAATTCAGTGCATCTTATTTCTGAGTATACAGTTGCAAAGTATCTCAAAGGTCATGTAATCCAATCTTCTGCCAGTGCAGAAATACTGCTGCTAGACAGAAGTAGGAATTGATATATCAGTTTCATAAATGAACCAGCAAGGAAGAAGTTGGTGAGGGTGTCCAGGATGAGAATAAAGTGTTCCATCAATTTCCTTCATGGTCTGCCAAGTTATTGTGATTAAGAATAGCGGCATAACATCCAAGTCTGCTTGTTACCACACACTTATATTTACATTGTAAAGAAGCAATTCTCTATTTATGACAAATGAACTGAGCCCAATATAAACAACTTTAACACCCTCACTATCATTAAAGTTCATGAGCCTCCTAAGTATATGATACTTCAGGTTACAAATTAAGTATCAAAAATTTATCACTGAGCACTTTCTAACTCTATCCTGTTAATGATCACATGGCAGAATTATTTTAAACTTCAAGTATATTGCTGATGTCACAATTGGCCTTTAGTGGCTCTACCATAATCCTTGCAATTAAACCAATATAATACATCATTAAATCTCACAATACTTATTAAAGTTGGTATTATTAATGTGTCCGTATATAAATAATTTTATATAAATATTTGTGCAATTTTGTATAATACTATTTGGGGATCTTCTGTGCCCACTTACTTGAGAGCAAGCCCCACTGAACCTATTTGAACTTACTTCTAAATAATCATGCATAGGACTGAGCTGCAGATTAAAGAACTATAAAAATAAGACCAAAAGGAAGCTACTATGCAGTAGTCCATAAAGCTAACCATCTGCAATATAAGGAATACACTCTATTCTGCAGGGGATTTTATGAAGATTCAATAGTTCCCTGGTCCCTTCCACTCAATATAAATCTCGGCGTTGCTCTTCTGCCCAGCAAGAACATGGAGTAACCTATAGAGTGTATTGGGAAGATCCATTAAAAACCCTTCCAGAGTTCTCACAGGCAGAACAATTATCAGCACAGCCTAAAACATCCTTTTCCTTCTGTGCTTAAGTCATAGATACTAGATAGAGCAAGCTGCTTTGCAAATTACCTGGATCGATGCCAGTTTCTTGGATAGCATCATCTGTATTCTGTGAACAAGACATACAAATGTAACAATTGGCTGAACACAAACCAGCAGGATTCACAGAAATTCATCCAAATGTAAGCTATCTTTTTTAGCAATTTCTTAATAAGCTTGTTGCTAGGAAAGGGCACTTACAGCTCTCAATCTAATTTCTTGTGTGCTTGTGAAAGGGCAAGTGAGCAAGAGCAAAACTAAGAGAGTGATGGAGTGGCAGGAGCATGAACAGATGCTCCCAGAGCTATACAGCCCTGCATGCTCAGCTCAGTTTTGGCTCCACCTGCATCACTGGCTGCATTCCCTGACTGAATAATTCTGGTGGCTCAATGACTCTCATAGGAAATTTTCCTCAACCTGGTATATCGAATCATTCAGGGAAGGTATTATTACTGAATTCTAACTCCCCTAACTGTACTGTGACAAACACATGGCCATTAGCAAAATGGCCTAGGTGTCTGACTTTCTCAGAATCATGAGACCCTTCCAGGTTCTCTAACACAGTGGCTTAAATCAGCTGTCATATTTCTCTTCATCCAAATCTTGGATTGGAGCCTTATATAGGCTTGGACTCACTTTCCTATTGTCTTCCCACTTGCACAGGAATTCCCTTCTCTCTGGTTTACATAACAATTGCCTACTATGATGTCCAAATCTGACAAACTAAGATTAGGGTTAATTTGGCGTATCTAAAGATCTGAACCCATGGTTTGAAGTGGGCTTGCAAACAATGGATTGTGGTCAGTTGTGGGTACCAATAACACAGTTTACTTGATTTGAACGGCATAGCAACTACAGTTAAGCAAAGCAGGTAACAGAGGGAGAATCCAAAAACAAGAAGGTGAAGGGAAGAAGAAAGAAGTGGATGAAGTGAGCCTGGCTGCATCATATTCTGGTTTCAAGGGTCAGAACATGATGTGTGAGCAAAGCAATTGATTTTTCTGTTGTCAGTCTCTAGCATCTTTTAATCTGGCCTGGCTATTTATGATCCACTGCCAGCCGGTCTCAGAGGGGGTTCACATGACACTATGAGCAATGGTGGTTTTTTTACCTTTGTTGGGTTGTCGGGTCATCCAAAACCCATTGTGGTATTTCAGTGTGGGACATTTGGTTTTGAGAAACCATGAACAGAAACAATGGTCTTTTCTATGATTTCTCAGTACTAAAATTGCCTGTTGGGTCATCTGAACTGATAATCACAGTGTGTTGTGGTATTGTGGTTGGAACTATAGAACCAAAGCATGGATGTTGCTGTTCCTGCCAAGCAGTTAACCAGAGCCCTTTGTCACAGCCATGAGAGCTGTCCCTGCTCCTCCCACCTCCTGCCCTAAAAATCTTCTTAGGAATAAGAGTGGGTGATCAGCTGGTTGGCACTGGTTGCTGCTCAGTTGATTGCTCCACTGATGCACTTGGTGAGGTTCTGCTGGTGCCCAAAATAGGGGCTGCATACCCCAGTGGATAACCTCAAGCATGAGCAGCAGGGCTAGAAGCAGCTGCACTGGTGGCTGATTGGGGCTGGAAACTATAGCAGATTCCTCCATGCTAACCCTCTTGCTGGCCAGAGGGAAAGTCCTGGAGCCACTCTTACTAGCCAGTGGCAGGAGTAAGACTTTCCTGGGCAGCACCATGGAAGGGATCAGTGCCACTTGGCTGGGTCCCCTTCTGCCCTTCTTGGGCACATCACACACAAAAAATTGCACATGGTGAAAACCATGTGGAATTGCTTGCCATGGTATATGAACTCAGCCTCTGAGTAGATATTGGAGAGGAAGATGAAGCAAGAAGAGGTCAAACAGCTAGAAAATGTACAAAATGGAAAGGGGTCTCAAATGTACAGGATGATAGAATCCTAATGGTTTTAAAGGAAAGTGGACTTTTCAATTAAAATGAAGAGGTGGCACGCCTGCATATACCAGTTGGTGAGGAACTTGGGCAGCAGAAGGTCTTGCACCCATCCTGCCTGAGGAATTCTGTGGGCAGCTGGTTTGCCACTCTGTGTATGGAGTGCTGGACTAGACGGACTTTTGGTTTGATCCAACATGGCTTTTCTTATGTTCTAAAGCAGCTAGATTCTTCTCATGCTCTCTGAAAATATTCTATTACGTTTTTGTGTAAAGTTAAAGATGCAGACCTAGTGAAACGTACTTCAGAATTACTCAGAATAAGCAGATCCAACTGCTTTCTTTAATGGTAAGCACCATTTTAGAAAGTATTTATTTAAAAATGCCCCAGGAAAAAGAGATAGTGGTTCTCCTCCATACAATACACTGCTATGGTGAGTTTTCTTGTGTTGGAAAGGAAGCCCTTGGCAAAGACTGCCTTGAAGACAAAGCTAATGTGGAAAGGATGGGTTCATGTCATGCCAAGCCATCCTGTAAATAAAACCATGGCATGATCACTCATGGTGGATTCTTGTATCATGCAAAACAGGTCACAAGGTCTTCCAGAGATGCCCTGAGGATTTTATCAGAAATTTTTCCATCACAAGAATTTGGACAATCACATGTAATGATTGGACAACCACATGTTGGGGATTACATGAGCAGAGCAAGCTGGAGCCGGGGTTCAGACTAGATGGCCCAGGAGACTAACTCAGTTTGTTTCTAGGTTTCTAATTCTTCCTATATTGCTGTATTTATTCATTAGTCATAGGATTGCACAAAATGCCTTTAAAGCTATGTAATTAAAATCCTTCACCCATGAACTTCCTTAACACCCAAAGTTTCACTTCTTTGGCTACAAAACACTCAACACTTCCTTATTCTACTAATTCTTCCAGATTAACTCAGTAATTGGTGACAGGATAACAAAGTAGCAACATAAATTAATAGGTTTCTGTCTTCTTTGCTCCTGTAAAACTTTTTTAAAAATGTAATTGTGAATAAAACAGAAAAGATGTGATACAGTCATTATACTGGAAAGATGTATTTTGATGCTTGTCTAGGATATACATTATATTTCAACAAAGCACGCATTTTATACAACTTCTATATCCATATTTTTCATGAAGTTAAATTTTCCAATTAAACATATGCCAGAATGTTTAGAGACATTCTTTCTTTGCAGGTATAGGTCTTAATTCCCAACTTGTTCCTAACAGAGTGAGCTAATATTCCCTAGCCAGCTCTGGTTCCAAGGTCTATAGACATCTAGAAAAAACAGCTTGACATATTGGTCAGAGCATCAACCTTGGAGAGGTTTTTCTGAAACTGGCACTTCCCTCTTGGTCTCTCCCAGTAACTGCAAAGCTTCCATGGTGGCTTCCTCTATGAGGGGAGAACTCTGATCTCATAGGGCATTTCTGCACAAGGTTGTTAATCTGCTGCACCTGCTTTCAGTTTCATTGCAAAAGGGAGATCCCAGTACTACAGGAGGAGCATTTCCTGTTCTGCTTTTTAGCTAAGTAACCTTTAGCTCGCACTGTGGCATAGCAGAACAAATACACAAATGGAAACTGCATTTTCTTTCACATCAGAAATAATATCACATTTTCCCCGCTCTAAACAAGCTAGCTGAAAGTGCTGTTTCTAAACAGATGAGGAACTGGAGCTCACAACATCATCAAACAGATCCTTGAGTAATGACAAGGACACAATAAATTATTTGTGTAGAAAACTCATTGAAGGGGAGAAATTGGAGTATCAGAGACATTTTAGTGGGTGAGAAAGGAACAGGCATTCATGCCCTAGCAAAGAGGAAAAGTTAGATGGATTCCTAATGAAGTAAGATGGTCTGTCTAATGAAAATTGCCTTTCTGGAAGATGGAGAGGGGGAAAATGCCTCTAGTGTTCCTCCCACCCCTTTCAAAGAGCCAGATAGGGCTTAGAAGAGAAGGACAGAGCCTTCCAGATCAGCACACGGTATTGACAAGGTTGCTTGCCCTTGTAAAGGAAGGGCATTGTAAAGGAATTTTTACAATGTAGTCCTAAGGGCAAGGAACTACTAAGGAATTAGTTATACATGTTCTCTTTCATTCATTCTTACATTATCTTTAAAATATTCCAACAAAAGTATCATGTGAGTGTTCTTTATTTTATATCCCAGAATCTGCTATATGACTTTTAAATTATCCTCCCAATTTTGTTTTGATTTAAGGTTGAAGACAGAACCACCATAGCTTACCAGTAGAGTATGTGCTTTGCATGGAGGTCTCAGGTTTAAATCCCAGCATTTCCAAGCAAGGGTGGAAAAAAGCCCTGCCTCAAATCGCAGAGAACCCCTGTCATTCATTGTTGACAATACTGGGCTAAATTCTGGGGTCTGGCTCAGTACAAGGCAGCTTCCTATGTTCCTAAATCTGAATGTACCCTTAGTTGGATCTTTCATGCCCATTTAGACTGAGATATATAAGCTTTCTTGAAAAAAAGTTTATTCTTCAACCACTGTCAAAACCATGCTACCAATTGAATACCAACATGCCACAAAAATACACTGCCAGCAGAAAGATGTTTTACTCACCCGATCATCCTCTGTAAAGATAGATTCTTCTGTAAAGTGACAGAAGATAGAAATCTCAGCATGCGAAGTACATTTCTAAATACAGTCAGAACCACAAACACTAGGGTAATTTAGTCCTGAATTTCAACTCAAACCCATTCCATTCCTGAATTTCAGTTCCATCCCATACCATTAAACTCCAGTGCCCTGAGCCAGGTAGATCTGGACAACCTTTCCCACCATGATGCCCTTCAGGTATCTTGCATTACTGTTCCCATTAACACTATCATCCAGCATGGTCAATGGTGGGAGCTGCAATCCAATACATCTGGAAGATGCTGGGGTGGGGAAGGCTGATAACATGCTACCTTACATTTTATTACAGAGATCTGGCTCTTGGAGAGAACATCAATTGTAATGCAAGCTCTCTAGGCTTGAACTTAGAGGTAGCCATAGGTAAGCTTCTGTTCCCTCAGTCTGAATATTTTGTGTCTATGATAATGCCTGTGGAAGGTTTAGACATGCTTTATAAATATTAAATGCCATTGTTAACATAGTCAAAAAAGTAGAATCTGTTTCAAAAAGCATCAGACTGGGGTATTCATAACTTGGGTCTATACTCTATAAGCATGAAGAATATGAAGGTATGAAGCAACCCAAAACTTGAGATCAGTCAATGTCGCCCTGCTGAAAGTACTTCTGTAGATATTAGAGGTGCTTCTACAAGAAACAGGGCCTTTTCTCTAGTAGCTCCAGTACTTTGGAAAGCCTTCCTGTCAGGATGATTATGTTTGCTGCTGTACCATCTTCTTCAAAGTAGGCCAACCCATTTTTTCACTTCACAAATATGCTTGAGGGGAGGGCCACATGTTGAAATAGGAAGTAGGACCGCATGGAAATGTTGGTACACTTTCACCCTGTGGATTTCCTTCAGATGTATTGTGCATGAAGGAGGCCTGTGTCTTCAGGAACTAAGTCCTTTTAAGACATTTTCTGTGCTGTGCTTTTATTTTTTGAGGTTCATTTGTGCCACTTGTAAATGTTTTTAGGACACCATTATTAGTTTTAGTTTTACATTGCAAACTGCTTTGAAAATGCAGAAGTATAATCTAGAAATGCCACAAATAAATAAAAAACATAATAAAATTAGATTGACAGGGTCCAATGACTTCACGACTACTTAATATAAAGGCAGTCAATGTAATCTTGTGCCCATTTTTAGATATTAGGATAATTCAGCTCCTGAAATCTGTGAAGTACTTGGAATTCACTCACACTAGTTGGAACTGCATGAATGTTGCCTTACCTTTTCCAGGTAGGATATCACTCCTGGGGAGTGTGCCTGTGAAACCGCCACTCAGAGCCTCCTGCAGCTTCTGCTGTCTTATGGTCCAGTCAGGAAGCCCGTCACTACTTTCCCTGTGCTCTTCTGAACTGTGTGGGAGCTCATCTGCTTCTGCCTTTCTCATGGACATCCGAATGTCAGAGCTGGAATAAGTGTAGCCATGCCCTGCAGGGCAAATCTCCTTAAAGGCTTCTACGAGGGGCAAGAGAGCACAAGATAGGAATGTGCTGATACAGAGTAGAAAGCCATAGGGAGAAGAAAAATGGTACACAGAGTTCTCTGACAATTTCATTCAGTAGTGAAAAGCACTGTTCTTCCATTACACAGGTAAGACATGCTGGGACACGTCTCTTCTTTAGTTTATTTAGGCATCAACCACAGTAGAAACATAGTTCACTATTGTGGGAAGCACATGTTCAAACTACACCCATTTGGAGCCAGAACTGAAGCAAGGAAGTTGCCAGTGAAAGGAAATAAAAAAGTTTGCAGGGCTGGGCACATTATTAGTAAATGCATCCTACTTTTAACAAATACTGGAAACTATACCTGCCCTTTCTCTCAAAGTTGGCAAAAATATAACTCCAAACACCAAACCAAACCAGCCCCTTAACTCTGTTCATAGAGGTGTATCTTTTCTTTTCTTTTTTTTAAAGATGTGTGTTGTTGTTGTTGTTATTGTTATGGGTTCTGGGTTTTTGGTTCACTCTCTGTAAGCCACCCAGACACTTTTTTAGTAATTGGGACAGCATGCAAAAACAATAAATAAATAAATACATCTCAAAAAGAAACCTGTATAATAAACCTGTATAATAAAAAAGGACAAGGAATCTAAGGCTGCATGGCCAAACAGATATAATTCCACAAGCCCAGGTAACCATTTAAGTATTTGATGCTGTAGATTCCAGGCATATCTTTGAAGGCTATCCTCAAATTCATTTGGCTGTACAAAGTTATCCCTGCTGCTAGATGGAGGCAGGACCTGGTGTCTGAATGGTTCAGTGAGGAGAGATTTTTGTGAACTGCCATTTGGACTCTAGTCTGGGGACCAAAATGCTTTGGGCTGGAACGGTGAGCACAAGTGAACATGCATGGCTTCTGAGAATCATTTCTCTGTCTGTACACAGAAATGCTAAATTGACTCATGATCAATGTAGCTTGAGCACTTGCTGACTCTGTTGGAGAAAAAGGGAGTGAAGACCTCGTAGTAATGGCACAGAAGCACAAGAAAGAAATTCTTCCTGTGGAACAGCTGTGTAAGGGCTGTAGCTATACAGTGAGAAGCCATAATGCTCTGTTCCTTTCACTAAGTTTAGATTCTACTGGACCCCTAAAGTATCCAGCTCCTTTACCTAGTGCTACACATCCACTCTGCTTCAAGGTGAACAGCCAGACTTTGGCACTCAAGCATTTGAAATCCAGCTTCTGGCAGAAAGAACGTGAAGAGTTGTATTGTTTGTCTGAACCAAAAGAATTAAAGCAGCTACAGGATTAACAATGATTGAACGAATGGAAAGTAAAGTTCAGAAGGCAAGCAGAGTTCTTACCAGAGCCTGGCAATGGGCACTTCTCACAATTTTCCCCCCAACCTTTGCCTACACGACTACAGCAGCAGATCTGTTTTGTGATGCGCTGGTTAAGTGGCAGGGCACAAACTCCTCCTACTGCTGAGCGATAGCACAGTCCTTGCTCTGTGGAAACTGCTTTATCCGCTGAAACATAAATAATGGATTAATCCTTTGCACATGCTTGTCAACTTTTTAACATTGAAAAAAGAATTTTTGTATCACAATCTTATGCACATGTACTCAGAAATTCATTTCATTATGTTCAGTGGGGTTTTCACCCAAGTATGAGGACATATCGTATACACCCTGAAGCCCAACTGAACACAGTATTTACTTCTAAGTATCCATGCGTAGGATCATGCTATTAGGTGCTTTCTGCTATGTTGGAAATCTTCTCCTTTGTCTGTATTTCACTAATAATAAAAATGAACGCAGGAAAAGTAAAAGAGATACTAATATTGAAAAAGAGAGAAGAGAAGAGAAGAGAAGAGAAGAGAAGAGAAGAGAAGAGAAGAGAAGCTTCATTTCCTTATGCTTTAAGATAAAAATTGATTACAACATTATTCTACTGTAAGATTCTAATCTAAAATCTAGTAATCTCCAGTTTAGATCACTTGTCAAAGAAGCCATTCAAAAAATGAAACATGAATCAGTTAAGAAACTTTGTCAAATCAAACCACTAGATAATACAGGCCTCTGTAACCAAGCTGTACAAGACTTCAGATTTCCATTAGCAACTTCAATTTAGTATTACCATAAATGGGAAATGAGCGGCAAGATTTGCAGAATTATAGAAAACCTGATTGTTATCACTTTTGTGCTTAGATTTAGCAACTTCATCCCAGTTTTGGGCCAGTTCATCTTAACTCATAACATGGCAAAGGACATTGCCTGAGGCAGTGCTAGAGGCTGGTCAAGGGCTGGAGCTCTGAATAATAGAGACACTGCTGCCCCTACGGACCGGACAGTTGCAATAGTATGGGACCCACATGTTGTCTGTTGCAACTGATCCCCCTTGATTAGCATGCTTTTTGCCAACATGTGCCTCTACCCCTCTGAATCTTTCTGCCTAAGGTTTTCTTTTGTAATCAAATGCCCTCCTCTTTCCTATTTATACATCCCTTTTTACAAATAGGGGTGACCTTAAGAGGAAAGTTCTTTAAAGACACACAAGAAGACTTTAGAGCACATGTAAATTCTTATATGCAAATACATGCCTTTTTTTTTTGGTCTTGTGGACTTGGGCTTCAGATTTTTTTGGAGTCTGGTGCTACTCTTGGAAAACTGCCCTATGTTCTTTAATCTAATATTTTTTTAGTTGGCTGCCATTTTCAGACACTCTTATCTGATTTTTAGATTACTTTATAATGCTAATTTGCTATGTTATTTTAAAACCCCTTGTTTAGTGTGGATTATACTGTTGCTAGCCATCTTGGGCATTTTTAATAATATATGGTATACATGTAGCAATGAAGGCAAAACTGATCAAAGAAAAGGCAAAACAAGGAGATTTATTTGCAGAGTGGGAAGAATGCCTTAAAAATAGGCATGTCTTTTACCTAAAGCTGGGTAGGTTGCAAATCGTTTAGGTTCACACTGGTTTGAGGAGGAAGAAGATGAGGAAGGACTTTCTCCAGAGTCGCCAGTTCTTAGCCTGTGCCTTTCATTCAGTGTGTTCAAGTCCATTCACGTTTGCATTGGACATAAACTTAAGGGAAAGCATATTTCTTGTCCTTCACCCACTATCTCCATGTTATCACTGATGTACAGCATAACTGCCAAGGATTGGTGCCCCTGGCAACACATGCCTTCAGATTCTTTATTTATTCGTGTATTTCATTTCTATGCTGTCCAATAGTCAAGGCTTTCTAACTTATGCCCTAACTCTAGCACTATAAAAATGTGAAAACAGCAAGTATGTGCAAAAGAATGCATAAGCAAGGGAAGATTGTTACGGGCTATTTGTTAACACTTACAAATACAGTGACTGCGAGATGGGTCCAGCATTGTGCCAGCCTTACAAGTACAGAGGAAGCTGCCACGGGTGTTCACACATTCTGCATCTTTACATATCCCAAGTATTACACACTCATTGATATCTACAAAATGAAAGAACAGGATTATAAAATCTATCCTGGCTTGCTTTCCAAGTGGCACTTGCAAGGAGGATCTGCAATATTAAATAAAATAAATCTGAATATGATATAATGGGATCACCAAGGAAAAGTGAGGCGGTGTCTCATGGTTGAAGTGGAGGCCACCTGTGAAAATGGAGGGACAAGGTCTGCACCACTTGTCAATTCACACAGTGAATAAGCTATGCAGTGTGGGTCTTGTGAAACAATCCATGGTGTGTCTGGCAGATGCTTGGGCTTTTGGAGGGGGGATCAGGCCCCCTTCTTCCTCCTTGGTCCTCCCACAGATAATCCAGGATCTTGTTTTCCCTTCCCTTGCTGAATGCAAACGTGGGGTGTTTTTCCCCATGTTCTTTTCCCAGAAATCACAATTTGTGATCATAGAATTGATGGTTAGTGATGGCAGTGTGGTGTAGTAGCTAAGACTGTGGGACTGGAACTCATGTAATCTGGGTTAGCCATGGAGCAAACTGGGTAACTTTGGGCCAGTCATAAATTATCAGCCCAGCCTACCTGACAGAATTGTTGCGGGGACTGAGAGCAGGAAGAAGAGAATGATGTCTCACAACAACAAGCTTGTGAGGTAAGTTGAGAGTCTGTGACTGGCCCGAAGTCACCCAGTGAATTTTCTTGCTGAGTGGGGACTAGAACCAGATCTCCCAGGTCCTCAGTCCAACACTGCAACCATTGCACCATGCTGGCTGTCATGACTGTCACTGTCAAGTATTTTCCGCATTTAATATCCTTCTAATCTCACTGTTTACAATTGTAGCATCACCCAGCCCCCAAAATGTAGTGTACAGAAACCTGAAATTCTGTATAGCACTCTGCATCAGAAGTGAGGTAAATTTCAAAGGCTTATACAAGAAGAATGAGTTAGCCTTTAAGGTGATGCAAGATTCTTTGCTATTCTTTCTTTTTCTGCTGTCCTCTCTTGAGGCATGTGAGTCAGCTTGCTGCAGATGTAAAATGGTTATAATAAATCATTTAAACTAATGATCAACAAAGTTCTACTGAAATAAGTGAACAATGTTTTTCAGTGCATTAGTGATAAAGTAAGCTTTCATTCCTGCTGCATCTTCTAGACTTCTATAGCTATTTCCTCTTGCCATTCCTATTCCATAGAACCTGAATAGCCTTGACCAAGTTGAAAAACAAATATAGGAAGGGGCATGGCTTTCCTGAATAACATGTAGATGTAATCATTTTCCACAAAACTGTATATTCTATAAAGAAATGAATTAATGAATGGTTTCTAAATGTTCCAAGTTAGGGCCTTGACCCATTTATCTCTTAGTCACAAGTCTCAGCAACATATTGCATAGCAGCTTATCAGAATCCTTAAGGCCATTTTTATGCAAAGCCTAAACTGGCAATGAATTCTTGGATATTTATATTTCTTTTTGAGAACCAGTGTGCTGGGGGCGGGGGGAGTGTTGGCTGGGAACCCAGGAGATCCAGGTTTTAGTCCCCACTCAGCCATGAACCTCACTGGGTGTCTTTGGGCCAGTCACTGACTTTCAGTCTAAACCTACCTCACAGGGTTGTTGTTGTGAAGATAAAATGGAACTATGTGAGTTGTGTTGGGTCCCTCACAGAAGGAAAAAGGGACAGGTTATAAATGCAATGCAAAAATGATAATAATAACCATACAGAAAAGTAGCATTGCTGCCTATGTAGATTATGCATTCATTGAATGTAAAATATGCATCGGTCCTTTCCTCATTTGCATCAATCAAACATTAAGAAAGAAAACAGGAGACACACAAAACAACGTAAGTGTCATGTGTGACAAATACTGAAGGCTACATGCCCAGAGTCATGAATGCTTTAGAATGGTCATTCCTTTGCATGAACAGATGGGGGCAATATCTGCACATGATCCATTGACAAGAATTAGGCAGGGAAACCATAGCCCAAGCATTTGACAGGAGAAACCTCTTCCTGCAATTACGGGGATGCTTTACATGATAATTTGGAAGCACAGGGGAGGACTCCTGATTTCAGGAAAACTCTCAGAGGAGATAGAAGAAGCCATGTTTCTCTCACTAAATCTCTAATTCACCATACGATCTATAGCAAGTTCCTTCCACTTGCCATGCCATCAGTGCAAGGGAGACAATTAGCTCTATGGTCTCTGACACACAAAAATAGAAAAAGGTCAGGTGAAGTGTGTTAATACTGTTCAAATTTGCGGAAGTGGCAGACACCTCTGAAGAACTATGACTGATGGCACATATAAAAGTTTCTGTTCTGGTTCCTCCACTCAGCTTGCTCTCTCGCCCCCCCCCCCCCCCACACACACACACATGCACATCAAAATGATTTGCTCAGAGTTCAGCTGCAGCAAATGGATTACTTCCAAACATCAAAGAAGAGGAAGACGAGTCCTTTGCACCTGCAGCGGATTTCCAAAACCACAAACTTCCAAAGATTGGGAAATTACTGTTTTGCCAGAGAAAAGGGAAAATGTGAAATATACAAGAAAGTAGTTCTTAACTTACTAGCCTAATAATTTCCACTGGTCAAAAGGGTGAAAACTATAAGGGAGCTAGGATTCTAAACACAATAATATTTTGAAAATTTCACTCAATAAATAGATTGGCTTTCTGTGTCATTTCTTATTCCTTAATACATTTTAAGCACTTTTTTGGTGTACTAGTGATATTTTGTGATCCAGACAAAGGAGATTAAAGTATTTGCAGTACTGCATAACCTTGCTCAGTGGACTGTGAAGTAACTGTTTCCCAGTTCTTCTCACTGATGGTCCCATGCTCTTGAATGAGGCTCTCCCATTATTTCCCCCACTAATTCTCCATAAAGGTATGCTTATGGGACCTGTGAGAAATTTTAGCTCTTACAGTTTGAACTTTGCCTGCTAAATACCAGATTTGTGTGGTTACTCTGTGGTGAGGAACAAACACTCTACTCAGATATTCCAGGATTATATACTCCTTGTACCAAGAGTAAACCAATGTGGCAGTCATGGTGCTGAAGGTGAGGAGAATAGCAGGAATGAAATGCCTGAGATTCTCGGAATTGTATACTGATTCAGATTCAACCACATCAGCATAAGAATAGCCATGAAAAACAAGGCCTGAAGCCTTCAACTCCTGAAGAGGACTGAGGTGGAGCTAAAGCTCACAGGAAGAGTATGGGCTTTGCATGCCAAAGGCTGCATGTCCAGTCCCTACCAACTCCAGGCTGGGCTAGGAAAGACCCCTGCCTGAAATCTTTTTATTTTCCCAATATTTTAAGACTTAGTTTTTATTTTAATTGGGCTTTTATCAGATGTTATGTTGTGCCTTTGTTGTTGGACTGCCCTGAGACTTTTATGTACAGAACAGGGTACAAAAGTTTTAAACAAACAAACAAACAAACAAACAATAAATAAATTTCAGAAAAGTACTGCCAGTCTGTGAAGACCAAGCTGACAAATAGGCAGTTTCCTATGTTAATGTTAGCAAAAGCATGAGAGAAGTTGGTTAACCAGTAATTTCTTTACTCTGTTTCAGCCTGGCAACAGAAGTAAACCAGGGGAACTTGAAAAAAACCTTTAACCATTCCATTCACCCTTCTTTCATCCCTGCTGTTCCATCATCTACTGGGGAGGATCCCAGCCATCCTGTGTGGTCTCATTCTAGTGTTCTCCAAGCCAAGTGGTTCTTGATGCCTAGACAAGTTCTCCAGATTCAGGTTCTGGCAAGATGTCTTCTGCCAAGTAAACATTCCACGGTTGCCTGAAAGAGATCTGAGTGCAAACATAGCTCTGTGATTTTACAAGGTGCTCTAGTGAGAGCCTCACTAGTCCCACACACACACTTGGCGAATGCTCTGCTCTCAGTCATCTGCCCTCCAGTTTGCACTAAGAATCCTTTCAGCAAGAGCCCGACAGTGGCCAGGGTGGCTGGATGAGCTTCTGTGGGGGCCACAAGAAGCAATGTGGCAGTGCTGGTGCTAAAAGGAGTATGGCGGAGATACAATGAGGAATGGAGCAGGGGCATTCAGGAGCATAAGAGATGAGGAGGTGCAACAGTGTAAAGGGATGGGGGAATGAGGCAGCTTCAGGAATGGCTGCCACAATAGTGCCTGTGTTCTCATACTTGAGTTGGTGGGAGAGCTTGTGCCAGAACAGTCCAGGATTGTTTGAGGATATATACAACATCACAATTAATCAGGCACCTGCATTCAGCTATACTTTCTCTGTATGTTGCAGGAAAACAGTTAACCTTTGTGCTTGCCTAGAACCCTGGGAGCACAAAGAACAAAAATGGCCAATGAAATGGGGGGGGGGGATGATCATTTAACTGGCATTGTAATGTTTGCCTTTCTAGTTCATCAATGATACCCCCAATGCCCTTCTTAGCCATTTCTCCTTCAGTATTTCCTTTTCCCAAAATACCTTTACAATGGCTTTTCTGCTGCTTGTGATTTGTTTGCACTGCAAAGATGTATGCAATCCAACCGAGTGGCACTGGATCTTTTAATGATGGGATGGCATTTAAGTTTTTCCCATTCTTTCCATCTTTCATCTCTTCCTACTTTTGCTCCTTGATCTTTCCTCACACTTGATGAGATCTGTGGGAAGAAACCCACTGATCTTGACCTCTTCCTTACTCATTCACTCTCATATGGCTACTTAAGGAAACTGCCTGCCGTTAAAGAAGGGAATGAAAGGAAGAGACAGATGCTGTGGGGAGGCAACAGCACATGGAGCCAGGTTCTGTGTGCTGCCATGTAACACCAGCCTCCACCTCATTCTTTTTGCTGCCACTGCCACCTTTTTCTCAGCAATTTTTATTTTTTGCAGCTACCTTTCACTGAGCACACATACAGTGTAGCTGATTCTGAATCAGTTTTAAGCCTCTGCTGTGTCACGTCACTGCCCATGTGCATCCTGCCCACTGAATCAAAAAAGAAAGACCCCAGAGCCAACAGCTCATCCATTCCACTTCTAACACAACTCAAGGTCTGTGAAGCAACACATCACACAAAGTTCCATTACAGAGTGCCACAACTACACTCACATGTTCAGCAGTTCAGTCTCCTCCAATTTCTCCCACGTTGAAAACACTATGCAATTTTGTGTGGCATGTGATTGCAATATAAACATAGAAGATACTAGATCATGTTCATTACCATGTGCCCCAATGGCTGTTCCTGAGTTCTGAAGAAATACTGCTACAGCACTAACTCACACTAAGGGCCTATAGTGTAGATTCTATGCTCCAAATTCACTTTTTGTAGCTATTGAAGTGTTAACTTCAAAACTCTGCCAGGCAACAGCGAAAAATGGCAATGGGTAATTCAATAAACCTGCTTATAGCTTTACAGCTTTTGGATTCTAACTGGGTTAGGATTTCCACATTCTGGTCTGTGTAACCTGAGGGCATTTTGGCTCTTTGGCTGCTCCTGCTATCTCCTGCACAGGAGTGATCCTCTTCTAAGGGTAGCTTCAGATCTGTTTTCCTTTCAAAACAGTTCTCACACTCCTGGTTATGCGCCCTGCAAGGAGTGCCAAGAACTAATATCTAACTAGGTTTTCACTCATAGCTGGGCCAATGGCAACAATTGTATCTGGGCACAGATGATTTCTTTGGCTCTCTAGCTCAGAGCCATGCCAAAGCCCTTTGCCAGACCTCAATGGCGGTCACAAGGCAACTGTGTTTCCTCAAATTAACATTCCTAGCCCAACTGGGGAGAAGATGGCTGGGAGAAGGGTACATGCAGGGTTAAATGAGTGGATACAAAAAGAGTGCCAATTCTATTCTACAAAAGCCCCTTCTACTCATAAGTCCATGTTACGGAATATTTCTTGAAAATACTTTTGCACAAATGGGAAAAGGGTTGGAAAGGAGGAAATATGTAGCATAGCATAGCACAACATAATCTGAATGCAGCCTAATCAAACATCTGTTCACTCCATTCTTTCCCATGAATGATCCTTTCCTGTTTCCTCAGAACAGGCCTGCAGAGCCCTTCTACCTTAGCTAAATTTGTGATGCCCACAGAGAACTGGCCACAAAAACAAGGGCTACGGTGCTGCTAATCATCTCCCCAGAGGTATTGCATAGGGGTTCTACAACAGGGCTTCTCAAGCAGAATGGGTGCAGTCACGGCTGTTAGAGAAAGGCAAAAGACGATGTGTGGAATGGTAATGACAGACAATCATAGTTTACAAATGGGCTTTGAGCCAGGAAGGTTGAGATCCACAGTACTGTGGTAACTTGCTAATCGGTTCAATATGACTAAAATTCCATGTTAAAGGAAATATGTCAAGAGACCATCCATCAATGGACTTGTACAATTCAAGGCCAAAACTGTGCATCTCACTCTTTAAGCAAAACCCCATAATTTATTGTGAGAAAACCCACAAAGAAAGAACCATAAATTCCAACCACTACCATGAAGCAGTACTTGAATAACATATATTTGTACCAGAATCAGTCAACATTCCTAAGAGTGCCCAGTATCTATTCCATTTTAATACCATGTTAGCAAAAATCTTATCAATACGGATATGCCCTTCACTTAATCTAGAGCAAGTCTTAAAGGCAAGTACACATCTCTGCTAGCATTTCAAAAGGAGGACCAACATTTAGCTAGCCACCAAATTCCACATATTTCAATCTACACTGCAGCTGAGTTGCTTTTCCAAAGTACTTGCTTTATAGATTGCAGAAGTGATTTAGCATGAAAAAATGTGTGTATGCACCCAAGGACTTCATAAAGTTGACCACATCTCCCTATAGAGAAGATTCAAGCACATGAAATTATATAATGCAATGTGATGGCTATAAAATGGTATAAACCTTCCTATGTACCTTAAGAAATTCAGTGTGCCAGTACATTGTGGTATTATGATGGACGAACACCAGGGGTTAGGACCTTTTTAGTGAGGGAACTCTGCTTCTCAAACTCTCTTCCTACAGAAGTTCAGCATTCCTACTCAGCTTGATTTTATGGGGTTGCTCAAAGGTGCAGTCCTATGCATGTTTAGACAGAAGAAAGGTCCTACTACTCCCAGCATTCCCATGCCAGCATTTTTTTCTGTTTAAACATGCAGAGAACTTCTTGTAAACACTCCAAGAAACATGAATTTTATTCCAGGCTTGTTTGGTTTATTAGTATAATCACTACATATTTGTTAGCTATCCTGTTTATTGGCAACTCATTTTATAGTGCTGTTGAGATATATTGCTATTTTAAATGGCTGCTTTTGCCCTGTAGCTTTTTAAAGCATGTGACACAATATATACATACATTCTCTCAAATATACACAACACACCTATTCACATTCAGTTTCAAACCTTTATCTCAACACTTCCTACACATAAATAAAATAGCTAAAACTAAGGTTGCTTTAGGGTAGAGAAAACATAATCCTTGTTCAAAACACTTCCCAAAAAACATTATACCTTGAACACACCCAGCACTTAATTATTAATTGCAATTTCACCAAAGGGAAATTAGTCAGTCTATAGGTTGGAAGAAACTGAATAAATTGTATGGCAGCGTTTATTTTATTATTGGACTGAGGAAGGCAAACTTTCATGCATTAGTTGTGGGCACTGGTGATACTTTAAATGGAAGAAGGGTCTGAAATATCAATTTAGGGTGTAATTTTATACATGTTTAGACAGAAAAAAGCCCTATAACTCTCAGCTTTTCCTAGTCAGCATGGTTGGCTGGTGAATGCTGAGAGTTTTAGGCAATTTCTCTATTTAAACATGCATAGGACAGCACACTAATACACATTAATGTAACTAGATATTTTCACATTTCATAAGTGTAAGTTTATTTCATTCCATAAATAATATACATATTAATCAATCATATTACACACCCTTCATCAATATACATTTCTGCAGCTGAGTGAAGGAGTTTCAATGAGAGAAAGTTTCAATGCTTACCTTGGCAGTGACTCCGATTTAGCCTCTTGTACCCCTGTGGGCATTCAACTTGTCCATTTTCAACCACTGGGTAAGCTAAGTGTGGAGAAAAAAAGTAAAACCTGTATGACAGATGGACAATTCAGACATATCTTTTCTTCTTTCTAAGGAGGCGCACTTCCACATTGGCCTCCACCACCTACATTTTGAATAATTTTAATCTTCAGTTCTTTTCACTAGGTCTGCTCCTGGTACCCCTTCTGCAAGTATTACAAATTCAGTTAACCCTGGTACTTGTCCCCATTTTAATTTAAAATAGATTGTCCTTATTTTAATATAGTGATATTAATAATAATAGTATAATATACCCTTCATGTCAAGTCCATGCATTTGGTATCCAACAGTGCAATTCTATCCATATTTACTTGTTCCCTGGTAAAACTGCATACAATTATCGGCCTAGCTGCTGTCTTTTACATAATTAGGAGTACCTAACTTTGTTTATTAGGGGGCTGCATATTGCTCAGTTGTTGTGGTTTAATTCTGTACTAAGCAATTTTTTTGCCACTGAATTAGGTTAGCTAGCAGGATGAGCCGGGTGTCAGCTTTCCCCACTGCAGGAAGTGAGTGCTTGTGTGAAGCAAGTGACACACTCTTGCAAATCATGGCATATTATGAAGCCTTTACCAGAAGTCACCAACAAAAGAGGAGACATATGTTATCCAGAGGGCTGGAGGCAAAAACCAGGTTTATCATGGAAAAATTATTTTTTTTCTAATATCAAGCATGACCCCAGAGTGTTTGAATTAATATTAAAACCACTTGCCATGGGAAAATAATGATTCCATATTTTACAATAAAACATTTTACAGTTTTTTAATAATCTTTAATAAGGATTTACAGCCATATGAAAAATCCATATTCACTATCCATAGAGAGAAATCAGTGATGGTTCACAGTCTTCCTGAGCAGCAAGCAGGCAAAAAGTATAAAGAAATACTGGTGACAAAAATTCCTCGAAGATCAGGCTTTTGTGATAGTGTTACAGTTTTATCTTGTCTATTTCTAAGCCTGGTTTGCTGTGGGTGACACAGCACTACTGTAGAGGAGAGGCAACAAAGAGTCTTGTGGCATCTTAAAGATACCACGTTTATTATGGCACAAGAGTTTGTGGAAAACAGTTGTGGGTGCATGCTGAAATAAATGTGTTAGTCTTCAGGTGCCGCTGCAGGCTTTGTTGTTTTTGCTGCAACAAATAAGCATGGCTTCCCCTCTGGAAATGGTTGGAGAAATTTCTGTGGAAAGCACAGCATTTTTTAAAGGACTGAATGGAGGGTTGAAGGGGATGGTTTTCAGTATGCAAAGCCTGCTCCAGGTGGACAAATTTAACCAGGAGGAAGTTCTGGTTTCAAGAGTCCAAGAATGGGGAGAATACAATTGCTAGATAGAAACATGATGGAGAAGTGTAGAAAACTATCATTTAACAACATCAGTGTCTTGTGTACAGTTGAGGGTTTTATCATTCAGCAGGGCTGGAGGCAATCTCATTTTACAACACTCATGAAAAATGAATATTGCCAGAATCTGAAGCGCATAACAATCCCCAAGATTTTTGTTCTCTGAAAGCAGCAAAACTTTATAGATCATTTGTTTTATTTGATAAAGTGAAGTTTTGCTCCTATCTAGATGTTTTGACATGAAATGAGTAACTGTGCTCTTTTTATTAATACCTGACACTGCATCATTTTCTCATCCTGAATCATATTAAGAAGGCAACCAAGCACTCACTCATTTTTAAAAAAAATCTTTTATGGAAGTTGCTACTTTATTTGAGGTAACAAACAGATGATTTAATACCATCTATTATAAAATCCTCCAAATGCAATTATTGGATGACGAGCCATCCTATAGGCAAACATGGGAGACTGACTTTAGGCAACTTTTTGAATGAAGATTGGCAGTGTTATGTGGATCTATCTTCTATCTTTATTACTCAACAGTAATATAAAGAAAGCATAATACAAATTTCTCTATATTGGTACAGATTCCTGCAAGGCTTCAGCTAACATATCTGAAAGTAAGTACTGCTGAAGGGTTAAGGTCAGATTGGTTCAACAGTGCAAGAGTTTGGAGTGGTTTCTGATTATTATCAGGAATTTCTCCATATAAGACCACCAGTAATTCCTAAAGGTATGCTCCTAATGATCCTGTATGAAGATCTTCTTAAGCAGTTTTATGTAGAAGCAAAGTCATGTGTAGAGTGTAACTGGAAGTTTCCAAAGTGATTCGGCTAAAGAACAGCAGAGCTAATTAAATTTGGGAGACAATAGACCCAGTTCACATGTAATATAAACCAAGAATATGAGTGGAGTATGGGTTGAATGTGTTGGCGTGTTGTTGTATGCTAATCCTTCATTATGACTTAACTATAGGTCGATAACCATGAAACACAGAGGAAAAGAATGAATTGTGAACTCTGTATTGTTCATGGTTGTTGTTAGTTGTGAAGTTGTGTCCGACCCATCGCGATCCCACGGACAACATTCCTCCAGGCCTTCCTGTCTTCCACCATCCCCCAGAGTCCACTTAAGCTCACACCAACTGCTTCAGTGACTCCATCTAGCCACCTCATTCTCTGCTGTCCCCTTCTTCTTTTGCCATCTTTGTTCCCAGCATTAGGTTCTTCTCCAGGAGTCCTTCCTTCTCGTTAGGTGGCCAAAGCATTTGAGTTTCATCTTCACTATCTGGCCTTCTAAAGAGCAGTCAGGGTTGATCTCCTCTAGGACTGACCAGTTTGATTGCCTTACGGTCCAGGGGACTCGCAGGTATCTCCTCCAGCACCACAATTCAAAGGCCTCAATCCTTTGGCTCTCAGCTTTCCTTATGGTCCTGCTTTCACAGCCATACATTGCAATGTTCATGGTTGGAGTCCATAACTGACAATCCATGACACAACAACAACCCATAATTCAACAACAACTCATACTGAACCTGCATTCTGGGTTATCTTTATCAGTGAACTAGATCACAGACTACTTATAAACTTACTCAGCAAGTTTAGTAAGCAAGCAATCCTAATTTTTTTAAAAAATACTACAACACTAAGATTTCTGTTTATTTCTTATATTGGGGCTCTTCAAATGTTTGAACAAAATCCAACCTAGTATAGCTGCCTATTTATATCTATGTAACACACATATACAAACAATACTTAGTAACAAAATCACACGCAGACATTGTATATACTGTATGAACTGCAACCTTAGAAGCGAAAATGACAAAACTGAGCCTATCATGCTTTGGATACATGATGGGAAGACAAAACTTCCTGGAGAAGGCAACCATGCTAGGGAGAGTTAAGGGCAGAAGAAGAAAAGGAAGACCAGATATGAAATGGGTTGACTCAATAAAGGAATCCACAGCATTTATAAGAGCTGAACAGAGCTGTCATGGATAGGACATTGTGGAGACTTTTCATTTATATGATTGCCGTAAGTTGGAGATGACTTGATGGCACATAACAAGAACAGCAGCAATAATAGTTATATCCCACTTTTTTTCCTTTTAAGGAACTAAAAGAGGCTTGCACAATTCTCCTCCTCTTTTCAATCTTATTCCTCACAACAACAACCCTGCGAAGTAAGTTGGGCTGAGAGTCTACGACTGACCTAAAGTCTAGTTAGCTCCATGACTTGATCGCCTGAGCCCCAATCCTACATCTGTAATCACACTCGCTTTCAATGAACATTTTAAATTCTTCCATTAGATATAGGAGCACTTACTTAGGGCATTTTACTATAGATGGTCCACAAGAACGTTGGTTATAAACTAAAAGTTATAATTTGTTTCTCTGGGGCACAGTCCTATGGAGTTGAACATAAACCCTCAAACTTGGAGAGTCATGCTCATGAAGAGCAGAAGAAGCGGCAGAAGTGATCTTTTCCTCCCCTTGCTGCTTGCTTTACATTTTCAGTAGAAAGTTTTTTTCCAGTTGCCCAGAGGCAGCATCAGAGAAAAGGGAAAGCAAGAATCTGTAGCACTGTCCTGGCTGCACCAGTCTCCTTCTGTCCCCTCCCTCTGCTGCATTTCCAAGATTGTGTTCCTGACCTCAGAAGAAAGCAACCATGGTGCCAGCTTCAAGGCAGCAGGTAAGGGGCAGAGCTCCATTTCCCAGCTCTGAGCTCCAGAGACAGTGTTGCAACCCCAGAGCTGGCAATCAAAGTATCTTATTCCCACTCCCACTCCCTGGGCACTGTCTAAAGGCCAAAGGATCAGCCCCTTAAAGATCTAGAGTTATTATGTCTGTTCTTCAAAACTCCATTAACAAAAAGAATTGCAACTATTTGTATTTAAAGAAGAATTTTAGCAATCACCAATCTAGTTTTGAAATATATATTTTCGTTTCCAAGCAGCTACCTAAAGGCAGATGTCTCTCAGAGCTTGCTAATCCTCTCACCCCTTTTTAGTTAATAAAGTTCTGGAAAGAGTTACTAATGATAATTTTAGCAATCACTAAGTTGAAAATGAGATTTTTAATGAAAGGTGCAAAGAGAAAACAAGATATTTGAGAACATGAATGCAGTATCCAGATGTCTCTTGGTTTGTCTGAGAAGATAAAGCAGTATTCAATCTGTTACTATTTTATGATGCAAAAGTCGCACCAGAAGACTAGATGGAAGACTCTTGATTACCCTGTTTACATTGTGGAGAAGACTCTTGATTGTACTGTTTATGTTATGGGGAAAAGCAGCTAATTACAAAGTTCAGAGGTGACTGCAGATTCCTCTGTTGCCAAAATTACATCATCCATGCACAAGGCAGAAGCATCAGCAGCCTTGGGAACCCCAATATTTACAGAGGAGAGAAACTTCAAGGGCTTTTCTCCATGAGACTTTTGATTTGGCAGTTTACAGAGCCTTCTGTTTCCAGAGTCTTTGTGAGATTAAGATTGGCTCCTTAACACGTGTTCCTCTCCTCGGGCGGAGGGGATTCTTTCTCTGCTTTTCTATATGTTCCATTACACAAGTAGCAGGTGGTAGAACTGTGCATGTTGTCATTCACAAATCACCCTGACTTTCCTTGTTCTAACACCCCTG